CGACACGAAAGTTCGATGGTCCATGTTGCGAGGGTATTTTTTCTCTCGGTTGCACGGCCAAAGTTAAAAGAAATCGCAGAGACTGGTAGATTCGAGAAGATCTTTGCAATAGCAAAGTCTAAGACTTTGGCATTCGGTGGTGACAAGCTTCCAGTTCGAATACTTCCGTAATGAGGCTTTAAATCGAGCCGCACATCGTCGCCGCGTATCGAGAAAAGGTCAACGACAACAGGGGTGTTTGCTGATTACCGGATGGATTTGATATAGAATCGGCGACTCGTAGTTGTAAATTCGGCTATAACGGTTGTTAGAGGAAAGCTCGGCGACACCAAGGCGTTGGAGAGGGTCAGAGAGATGCAGGCAAGATGGAGGTCGCGGCGAGGAACTGCAAGACGCAGCGGCGGGCGCCAAGACCGAATTTAGGTCGGCCAGTGGCGAGCCTCCGACGAAGGTGCTCCGACCTCTCCTCTACCTAACATGCAATACAAAGTATACGCTATATTGATGGTTTTATTTATTTACGCCTCGATAGTTGGTTGGCTGTTTTGGTCCGTCCAAGTCAGATGTACATTTCAATATCTAATTCACAAGCATTATCCTGTTCTCAAGCCGGCTTGATCACGTCGAGGCGGTTTCTCGTCTGCCAAGGACACATAGAAAGGAGTAGTGAGGACAACAGGAGAAGGCAAAAGCACGTGGAAGAAAAAAGGTATATCGAATCAAGCGAACACAGTGTCGAAGAGAAAATGGCGCACACACGCCAAGGATATTTAATACATAGACATCTAGAAATAGGGTAGTAGAGGTCATCAAACGCCCAAAGTGCACGAGCAAGAACTACTCCAGTGCTCTCGAGTCACTCCAACAAAGGAAATGAAGCATCAATAAAACAAAGGTGGTGAAGAGAAGTTGTGTAGTGGGAATCAAGAGGTGAAAGGCAAAAACAAAGGCAGGCATAGGATTATAGACATGTCGCCTCGGTCATCCTGCGTCACGAGGTTTTCAACCTGCAGAAGACATAGGTACATGAAGGGAAGGAACCGCGATAGAAAGGTAGAAAGAGAAAAAGAAACAAGAAGCTTATCATCATCGCTAAATCAACGAGTCATGTTCACAAAGGAAATCTTGAGGAATGAGTGGACAACCACCCCTCCATGGGACTAGCATATCGGTCATATCAACATCGTCCAAATCATGAAGGATGGTCGGTAAGACATCCCGATCACATCAAGGTCATCGAGAGAAAAGAGGCATTAATATCAAAAGCTCGGTTCTCCGCATAAACGCCGTCATTAGATGGTACTGTAAAGGGAAAGCGCCAACTCCGTCCAAATGCACTAGATATGTCAAGTCGTGGTGATTAAACATCGATCATCTCGGCGTCTTCCGCTAGGACCTCGTCGGCAGGGCCCCAGTTGCCTTCGTAGACGGTAGCACCCGCGCGACGCCGGCGGGCGACGAATTGGACCCCGTACGTTTCTAGTACTTGATCCGCAGTGGGTCGGTCAAGCGGTTCAGGCGAGATCATCCAACGCACAATCTTGTCCAATGCCTGCTCATGGCCAGCATCGACCATGAAGCTAGGGGGATCAACAAGCTCTCCAATTCGAGCGGTAGAGGTCATGTCCCGCTTGCTTGTGCGACCTCCGAGGAAACTGTCCGTGCCATAATCATCCTCGCCAAAGTCTGAGGTACATAGTTCTTCGAACGATGGTTCCTCCGAGATCGGATTACCGGATGCATCGCGGAAGACGCTGGTCTCAAAACTCCAAGTCAAGCTGGGGATATCGCTCATGTCTCCATTGCGGAGCTTCTGCCACGAGAGGCCATTGTCAGGCAGCTCAACGTTGCCGGCGATCTCGAACATAATGAGACCCAGAGAGAAGATGTCCGCTGGTTTATCATAGCGGCCCATCAAGATCTCTGGTCCAATGTATTCGCGGTCACCCTCGCCTTCGATTCCGTCTTCTGCTGGCCAACGTGCGGCCATACCGAAATCAGCGATCTTGAGCACGCCCTCAAAGGTTATTAGGATATTGGCTGGTTTGAGATCAAGGTGAATGAATCCCATGTCATGGATATGTTTCAAACCCTGCCATGATGGTTAGCACTATACTACATTTGCCAATGACTTCATCCAGTATAAAAATGTTAGGACTTACCATTGATAGTTCCAGCATTATCTTCCAGATTCGGAAATCGTCCAATCTTGCCTTGAGCCCAACTTGCGCAAGGAAGACATCCAAGCTGCCTTCTTCACAGAATTCTGTCTGAATGTAAAGGTGGCCGCTATCCTCCCAACTGTTCATAAAGGAAATGATGTGGTCCGCATTAGTCAACGACTTGAGTATGTCGACCTCACGAATTCGGCGTTCGCGGTCCTTGAGCCCCGAATATGGCTGCTTCGACTTCTTAACGGCCCATACTTGTTCCGGTAGCACCTTGGGGGGGAACATCTCGCTTGGGTAAGTAGAGATCGATGTGTCGTGGGGCTCGGAAACACGGTAAACTTGAGAGAATTCACCGGTTCCAACAAGTTCTACCCGTTCGAACCGTGAAGTCAAACTGGGATCGACATCTGGCGCATGATATCCAGCCAAGGGAAGGCTGGGTCGTTTTCCAGACTGGAAGGAATCACGAGGGCCAGTTGGGGTTGCTGGCAGGTTAGAGGAATTAAAGTCAGGCTGACCAGATTGCTGTTCGTTCGAGATTGATAGTCCACTTGGATCGGGGAATAGATGGTCTTGCGGTGTACGTGGAGAACCGCGCAGAAACCTGTCGTGCAAGGGACTTGAGTTGGTACCTTTAGCCTCCGCCAATCGCTCAAGAGAGGCAATCTGCGAGACTGGTGGTGGATAGGTTCGAGACGGGAAAAAGCTCTGCTTTGTGGGTGTTGGTGGGAAGTCGTTTTCGCTTAGCGGTTGGCTATTTCGGCCGCAGGGCGATTGAGATGGTAATAAGTCGTCGCCGTCGATGCTAGCAAAGCTTCCGCGTCGGGAAACCTCGGGCCTGTTGAAGGAACTTCCAAAGATTCCCATGCCTCGCGCAAAAGGTCCGGATTTAGGGCGTGTGCTAGAAGGATTGAAGGGTGACGGGGGTATTGTATCTGATTGTCGAACCAAGCCTGACATCTCCAAAGGCCGTTCCGGCTGTATTCTTCCACCGGTAGGAAAGAGGTTTATGGGCCTTTTGCATGGAGTATCGGGCATGTTCTTGCTGAAACCTAGCGTGTTCTGAGGATCGTCGGCATTGCGGTTCTTCTTGGATATAAGACCAGTTGACATAAACGCCGCTGGGAGAGGCTTGACTAGTTTGTAATTCTCGGGCGTGGCAAAGGAGTCAACGGACGAGGTCGAATCCTCGCGGTTAAGATGCCGCAGCGGCGCAGGCCGGGCAGTCCCCGCAGGGAGAGACTTTGAAAAGTTTATTATCCCTCTGGGACGATCACCCTTGTGAACGGGCTCGTGGGTCGGAGAATCGTCTCCAAGACTCGAACTCGAGGAGGATTGTGTAATTGTTCTGGACAGGGGATGAGCAGAAGGTCGGGGCTGTTCGGCGTTGTTACCCGTCGATGCAAACAACGGGGTACCTGGCGATGGCCGTGACAAGAACGGACTGTCCCGGTTTGGCTGGAAAAGATTCTGATCCAAAGACATGCGAGGTCGAACGGAGAGCGGAGTCCCATTGTCTAGGGCATCAGGTGAATCATCCATAGCCTTCGCCCGAGCAAATAGAGAGCGATCACTCTGACGCTGTTGTAGGGTGGACCGCCGTAGAGAAGAGGATCGTTTGGGAATGGTGGCAAACGGGCTGAACGGTGTGATGGGGGGAGGGAAGGAAGGCGTGGTCGATTCTGGGAAAGCCTCGACTTCGGGCTCTTCAGCATTGTTCGGTGTGACTTCGTTATCAAAAATGCTAAATTCACCCGATAGGCTTGCTGCCTGGACGCTTCGTCTTTTAGCCGATGGACTACCGCGAGACACTCGATCTAGATTCATGATTCCGTCGCTCCGTTTCAGCGGGCTAACCGTGGCATATGAGCCAAACGTTCCACTCCGCCGCTTCTCAATGCGGGAAAGAGCCGGGCGGGGACCCAAGGTGGATTCCGCACATGCGGGCGTGTCACTTGGAAAGATGTCTCTAGCCGCATTGTCGGGTTGAACAAGTCCAGGTGTCGAGGGTGTGTTCTCCACGCCCGGTGTTGTTGGCACCGACGGCGCAGGCTTTGCATTTCCCTGGTCCGTAGAGACGTTTAGGGCACGCTTCACGGGGCTCCTCGGAGAGGTCCGCACACGGCGCATGGTTGGCCTTGTAATCTTTCCGCTTGGATGATACGGGACTGCGAATGGAGACTGGTGAGAGGAGCTGGGGAAAAGGACAAAGTTGCTCTGGGTCGATCTCCGTGAAGGTGACAAAGGCGACGAGATGTATGGCGCTGTTTTGGACGGCGAATGGCCTCGAGAAGCAAGCAATGAGAAGTTGGAGCTCTTTGAAGGTGAACGAGATAGTGACCGGCGCAGTTGTCGAATGGCCGAATTAGCATCCATGTGGTGAATGCCCGTGTGCGAGGGCAGGTGTAGTGTGCCACCCGCATCACGGTGCGGCGAAAATGTCGCGACCATGATGATCACGAACAGTCTGTAGGTGGTAAAACAAAATGGTAGCTCTCCAAATCTGGTAAGATGAGACCGAGATCACAAGAACACTCAACTATTAGGTTGGTGTCGTGATGAGGTCGGCCAGACAAGGTGTAAAGCAGTATACAGTTCACGACGCGGGACAAAGTTGACCTCAAGTCGCGATGAGCGTACACAACAACAGAGACTTCTGGGGCCAACAGAGAGTGCGTGTGGCGGTGTTTTCCTCCGCCTGTCGGTCTAGCCAGTGACAGGGGTCGGAAGTTGTTGTTGACCGCGGTGGAATGCTAGGAAAAGTAAGGCTGCGCGCCTATGGCAGGGTGCAGCCAAAACAAGTCGAAGATGCGAAACGACGGCTGTACATCACCAGCCTATTCCGAGACCACGGGGGGCTTCGAATGCGCTTGTTGAAGCCTCCATACACCCCAAGAGTGTGTGGATGAGGGCAGGAACAAGCACAAGCGGGGACTCTTTCGCGCTGAGGCACGGGGCCACGCGCCTGAAACACGCAATATCCTTGAAGGGACCTTCGCAGTTTCGCTCGGCGCCTAATGCGATATTGTTCGATAAGACGGAATGTTTCAGGGTGACAACCCAGGCGTCAAAACAAGCAGGCGCGACGCGCGAAGATGCAGCGGCGACAGGAACGAGGACTGGCGCGACGAGGCGGACGCGAGAAAGTTCCCAGACAGCGAATAACTGCAAGCGATGCGCGAGAAGAGGTAACGAGTTGCAGAGAGGGATGCGAGAGGGATGATTTTGATTTGATAGAAGGACACCGGCAGCAGCAAGATTCGTCTCCCTTCCGTCTCCCTTTCTTCCTTTAAAACCTGAATGACTGCGCTTCTCCGGCCGAGGGACTGGCAGCGCAAGGGGTGACGCGAGATGATGCCCCCAAAAAAAGAAGCAGACAGCCACGCGAAGCAGAGGAGTCGAAACGAAGAAAGGGATGGGAGGCGGCAGTGGTGGATAGCTGTAGTAGTACGTAGTGGAGATGGTGGTGGGAGATAGGATGGGCGGCCGGACGGAGGGGCTGGCGACTGGGGACGGAAGTTGCGGTATGCAGAGCCAACCTTCAATAATGAGGGATCAATCGTCCGATGGATTTCCCTTATGGGAGGAGAGTTTCGACGGTTAAGGTTGGGGAAGGTGGATTAGTCGATGGCTGGAGAGAGGACAGGCGATGATGGAGACACAACACACTGGGAGAGGTTGGCAAGGGAAAAAAAAAAAAGAGAGAAGCGAATGAACATTGTGGTCAGTTAGGTGACCACGACTAGTAGTTTACTAAGGTGGTCTACTAGGTACTTAGCGATTCTATCGGCAGGATTTGAGTGGTTCAGGTTCAGGTACCCAGCCAGTTACGCCTGGGAACCTCGATGTTTCTGTCGCACGCGCGACTCTCGCGTCGTTTGTTGTTGTTTGCCCCGCTACTTTGGGTTTAGCGCCGGAAGTCTCACGCGTCTTTTTCCCACCCCCAGGTAGGGTTCGCCCCTCCCTCCCCGTGGATCATACGATACAGACCGCGTTAGTTACAATACAGACACACTCTACAGATGCAACTACTGTTAAGCCTTTGCCACACTTTAAAGTGAAGTAGTTAATCCATGTTTAGCATTCAATTGACCGAATATTTGTTAGGTGGTTACTACATTGTTGTTGAAAATCTATTTATCCTTTGTTGACCCAGTTCTGGTTGGCTGGCTGGCTGGCTGGCTAGCCTGGCTTGGATGATGTTCAGGCATCCATCCCGCGGTACTAATTCCTTCCGTACCGACCCTTTCGCTCCAAGACAAGATTTCGGGTTCTATCCGCCGTCGCCCCTCCCCCATTGTTAAACAATATCGATATCGATAATGTTGATAAGGACACCGCGGGGGAGCCGGATCATCCCATTTATCCTGCTCCCTTGCATGTGCGCCATAATGAAAACAAAAAATCTAAGTATTACTTGGTTTGATCCGGCCACCAACTTGAGACGCTTAAGTTTCCAGGCTGAGGGGAGCTGCCTTTCTACTAGTTAGTACAACATAGTAGTACCCTTTCCCCGAATTGTCGCCACCAAACCATTCTGCTTGCAAGTCCCGTGCTATATCCACTAGTAGCATCTACAGCACGCCAATAAGACGATGATAGTGGCAAAAGATATGGTTAATATATTCTTCCTCTTTCTCGTCTGTTCTGGTTTTATTTTCATTTGGTCTTTTTTCCTCCCAAAAAAAAAAAAAAAAAAAAAAAAAAAAAGAAGGGAAAAAAAATCCTTTCTCCACACCCCTCAACTGGACTTGAGTCAGGCACAGCGCGGCTTAGGAATCTTTTTGGGTTCCGACGCCCCATCTTCCCGTGCTTCCATCATCCTTCTAGTAGTTCTCCAAGGCATAGATGTAGTAAGCATGGACGTAGTAGGCAGATCATTGACCTCATAATTTACCAATTTTGACATAGGTAAATAATTTCAATTGTTCCTAGATGCCAGGGTAACCAACGAGTCCCACACGTTGTTTACCACGCTGTCGCCTCTTCCATCTTAGAAGGCCCAACTTCAACTCTACGGTACAAACCCCTCAGCACCACGTGTCGTCCCTCATTGTCGACGTGTCCAAATCGAGAATAACTGACGTCGAAGGGCCCCCCAATCGCAGATCATAGTCTCAGATAAATGGATACACCTAGTACTTACCGTTTCCGTCGTGCAATTCCCAGTATGATACATACCACCAACTTCCTCGCCATAATCCCTTCGTACATACGTCATCAGATACTCAGTCCAACAATCTTGACGTACTCCGAATATGATGGATAACATCATAATCCTCGACATACGGCGTATACCCCACACGATCTCCATCTAGATTGCCTGCTTCCGAGCTCTAACCTCTGAAGGAATGAAACGGTCTCGTTGCCTCAGGCGACTGGACTTGCAACGCCGTGGTCCTCATGGGTAGACTACGTCCTGAGCCGACAATCGGGCATCGATGACGTTGAATGTGCGGTCATATTAAATATCTAGTACTTTGAGGCGAATTTGTTATGGGGTATTTCTTCTCTCTCTGCCTCGAGGGGTATGTTGCGCTTTACCAATAGTGAATGATGTCGTCGGTGAAGCGCAGAGTTAGTCGCTTCGAAATGATAGCACTATCCCCAAAATATATAGTAGCGCTTTCAACAACCACAACTACTGCCACACAACGGTCCAATGTCAACACCTGAACCCTTCCTTGCACACAGTGTTGCGTGAAAGCCGCCTTGGGCATTATTCATTATGACCATGGGCAATTATTAGGCAGATCCAGGCCATTACCCCAACCCTTGATTCGATTTATTGAACTTATCCATCCCTAGAAGTCCAACCGTTGTCGGCGGCATGACTCAGCAAAGTTCTGTTCTGCTTCAGTTAATGTCGCAGTGAACCTAACAAGGTAAATGTTGATTTCCAGCCCAGCAATCGTGCATAGATTGCATGCAGTAATACTATCCCTTACGCTGAATGCTCAAGACCCCATAACCTTTCTGCAGCCACCTTGGCCGTTTCTCGGCGTGGTCCGTCCGCAACAACCTCGACCAAATCGGTAATTGATATCGTATTAATGCATGAACTCCAAATCTAATCTCGTCGTCTATGATCTACATCGCCACGGCCATTTTTAGCTGAATATGACATGTCCCATCAGTAGCTGAGGATGCGCCAAATCCCGATTTTGCTGCACGGGATGCCCGATAGTATTGAATCACCTATCCTGCAATTGTCCTTCAGCCATCCAGATCTTCAGAATATCGTAGTGGCTTGGTCCATTTGGAAGGTGAGTTAGCAGCAATACCCCAGGAGCACCAATGCACCCACTCAATCCGGCATTCAGCAAGCAACATTGTGGAACTCTATAGCAGTGTGAAACAAGTTCTGGCTGTTGCAGGAATATTGCGGCCGCATTAAGCGTTCGTCAAATAGTCCCGGAAGGGGATGTAGAAGAGACAGTAAAACTAGTGCTAGGTTGTCCTACAGCTATCATATGTTTTAAGCTAACATACATAGTTCTGCCATGCTTGTCTCAAGTGTCTTTGATCATGAGGACATTTGAGAAATGCGGGACATCCTTAGTTGTTCGTGACAGAACAAGAGCAGACTAGTTGTTCGGAGCTGCTAGGAAACAATGAGTATAGCGACAATGTTCTGGCCCCCAGAGTCCATTGCTACCAGCACTCACCTGGATATCTTGCGCAAGGTGCTTAGCATCGGGGCTAGCGCAGAGAGATAAGAACTGGAATCGTGCACCATGATCACTTCAATGGCTAATTAGCTAGAAACAGAGTTATGATCCTTAGTAGGACTCAGGAGCATTCTATGTAATAGGAGCTCAGTGAGACTAGTATTTTTCATGCTCTCGCCAGTTTAGAGTGGAATTCTATCCTATGTGACTTGACTAAGAATAATGCCGTCGCTTTCTTGTTTCTGAAAATCAACCAAGACGATCTGAAAGATAGTAGATGCTTAAATCGACCTCCGAGGAATGATTAGCAAGTACCTGAGCCGCTCAAGTGTGATAGATAAGGAGGGATTCCGAAGGTGTCTAATGCGCCTTCACATCAGAAACATACCATGCTCCCATTTAGATATCCGAGTATTTCGGAATATATAGAACAATGCATCAGACTGACAGCAGCAAGAGCATGCAGCAAGGGGACTGGAGAGATGCGCATGCAGCGTCCAGCCGGTGATATCCATCAGACAGGCAGGAAGGAGAATTTGGGATGAATAATGTTCGGAGTTTTTACCATTGTAACAAAGGGGATGCTTCGAGTTGTAAGCGTGGGACTCTGAAACGTTGCGTGTCATTAGTTATGGTAGGTAATATACAAAGTTTGTGCAATGACGGGGCTGTTTGGATGGCTGTTCAAAGAGGATGTTGGGCTTATACGTATTGACTTACTATAGAAAGGCAGCTGCACCTGATTGTTTCCGGGTTCGAACGTCTTCTGGTAGTGTGGTTCCATTTCCTCGAGTCATACTGAGTTCCAGTGGTGTGAAGTAACTTGAAAGGGATGCTTCTTCAGGAAACCATGGGCAACTTCAATTTATCATCCTAGTATAAGCCACAATTTCGGTATAGTACTATTTTCAGTGATTGAGTACGAGGGATGATTGGTGTCACCGTTGGAATGCAGCTAGAATTTACTTCTTATTCCAAACAGCCTGGGTTCGGGATACTGAGTCATGTTATGAATGTAAATTTTGCATAAGGGTATGCTTTCTACGATAACGCCTCATTCGTGTGGCTTCCGGGCACGTCGGGACCTAGGTATTAGTACACATTCCTTCATACCCGACGGCCTGGTGAGTTGTACTTAACGATGTATTTCTCCAAGTCCATGCAAAGGGCTGTTGGCCACTTAAAATGGGGGCGCCTATATCTGTAGCGACTGTCTTATACTTGAGAAGTCTCCAATGCTTCACTGCGGCCTATTGTGTCATCGACTGACTACAGCATATGTAGTGAGAGTGTCATTCAGTATATCATGAGCATTCTCAGAAGCTGACTTCAATGAACTTCACAAAAAACTGTGCAGGGATCTATCTGTGTGGTACACCGGTGGGCTCGTCAGGGTAAAGGCTGCACAATAGGGTACGTCATATGAAGCAATTGCATCATCCAGGTACGCCCCATGAATATATGTTTTTCATCTTCGTCGTGGCTGCTCCAACAGGGCTGTACTACTGTGATACTGACGACTGACGGTGACTGTCTGAGCATAGACTTCCTGGGTAGCGCGTTTTCTCGTAGTCTCTGCATAAGATGCTTGATGGCAGCTCATATGTAAGCAAACGGGAGAGCAATCGCCTTGAGTAGTTGACATGTCGAGTTGTGACACATGGTATACTTGATTCTCACTTGTGAGGACACTTGGATGGTCTCCTAAAGCACCGAATCTTAGTCGTGTGCTGACACGAGAGAACTCGACGATATATCAATTTCAATCAATCAACTACTACCTTCTTGTAGGACCCACTATTGCTACGAGAATCAGGAAGCGAGCTCGGCAATAGTTACGTTTCGCGGAAAGTGAGATCTTTCACAGTCATATTGACCTGCGTCACCTGAGAAAAGCTATGTCTATCATTGCCTTGGTAAGAGACGGAGGTTGTGTAGAACAATCTATAGTGCGAGGGCACAGCCAGTCACAGGTCGGGTATAATAAGCAAGTCCCGTTAATGAGGGGAAATACCGTTTACGTCTTTAACGGAAGAAAAGAGGAACAAAGGCCTCAAGGATGAAGTGGTGGCTAGACAATGCCCCTGAAAGAGAGATGTTGCATTCGCTCCTAGCAATGGCGTCTGATCCTGACACACTTGCATATGATTCGAGGCTGAACTAGACCAGGATACCCAGCCTGCTGCCGCAATAGCGTGAAAGAGGTTAGCTGCCTAGGTAGTGTCTTGCATGAGCCAACCATGATTCAGATATTCATAATCTCGAGGCTCGATTACGGCGGTAAATAAGCGGACTCTCTCGTATGATGAGGAGGGGCTGCTGCATTGGAGTGGAGAAAGAAACAAGGTAAGCAGTCGACAGGCTCATGGATCGACTTCGGACATACGTAAGTAGTACTAGGTACTAAGAAGAGTTTTACCACACGAACAAAGGAGCAAGGTACCCACAATTACATAGCAGCACTAGTAGTCGAGGCAAGCGCTGGAAAATGAGTAAGACCAAAACAGCGATCGGCCAGCCGAAGCTTCGGGCAAATCAGTTCATAGTTATAGTCATCCAGGTTTAGCTTTAGCTCCATAGCGGCATAGCATGTGCCTTTTGGCCAGTGTCGACCCACGCTTTCAAATCTCCCCTCGTCAAATGAAAATGAACGTGCACAGAACTTGGGCCAAGTAATAGAGTGAATGAGATCGTCCGTAGTGGACTCCAACCCAGACAAGGATCCCTGTTCACGTCCGAGTCCAAAAGGAGGGGGACTTTGCGGCGGGGTAATCGCGCGGGCCATGATGTTCCTATGTCATTCATATACGCACTACGAGGTCTGGCGATCAGATACCTCTATATGTTCCCGTAATGTGGCACGTGCCTCTAACTCGGAACTCCGGGTAATTGCCCATATGCCATTGGTTTTATATTAAGTGCTGCAGGAGATAGGTCTAATAAACTCCCTCTGATGGATGGTGTGTATGTCAGACGGGCAGCATTTGGGTAGTCACTCTGTGTGAGACAGCAAGTATCCACCGCACTGTACTAGAGCAGGAGTTCTGGATGCTTGCATGGGGCGATGAGACATCTACCGAATAGGGATACTTACAACTTCGTATTGCCTTGGTGTGGGGGCGATGGAGGGGGATCTCTTTCTTTCTTTCTTCCTTTCCTGCGAACCGTAGATTGTTTAGGGCGAAGCCGGTACGGGGATCAGGACAGTAGTGGACTGTCCGAAACAGGTAGGGCAGAGGATGGTCCAAACCGAGTAGATTAGCAATCCGTGATATCTGGTAGGTCCAGACAACAGCCGAAGAAGCAAAACATATTCAGGCCGGACCTTGAGACCAATCACTGTATGTTTAGCCAGCAAATATGGGCACCACAAACCGGCCTTGCTTTGGCAATTAGATGATCTTAGCCATTCGAATGATTAATCGGTTCAGGAAGCCCTCAAGGAGATGAAGGAGTACAGACTATCTCCGCCGCATTCGGTACAGATTGCGATCTTGCATGCGTGTGTGGGACACCGTATCCATGCGATCATTTTCTGCTGAGGCCCGCTGACCAGCAAACCTTACTACTGATCGCCGACATGGAAATGCAGCGGGAAAGGTTTCCAATGCATGGAGTGGTCCCTGGATGTTCAGTTGGGGTGCGCCACCAGCCCACGGTTTGGGGGTAGCGTGAATGAACCCCCTCATGGTCACCGGGCGGCCTAGGGGAAAAGGAGAGATATTGTGCGACTCTTAAGAGTCTGATGGTTAATAACTTGATGCCTGAGCGTCTTCTTGACGGTCAAGCGTCTATACTCAGCTGTATTGATTTCATTTGAGTGAGGGAAAGCTTATCAAGATTGGTACCTGAACAATCCAACCGGTTACAGGAGGTAATGTAAGTTGGGCGTCAATACGATACGGATACCGCCATTCAGCCCAGTCTTGGAAACGTTGTGAAATTTCCCGACATCGGGCGACTGCGGATCTAATCTAAGCGTCCATCATCCCACTTTTCCTGGATTAATTTGCATTGCACACCGGATCATGCTGCGGGGCTCCTGGTCGGCTCTTCGGGCTCGGAGACTGAGTAGGCAGCTTGGCTTATTGTTTGCTTTCTTTGCTATTTTGGGTTCAATTTTTATGAAGCAAATTGAAGTGTTCGTGGGTACAACTGGTTGATATGCCTCGATGAATTTTCACTGGTGCTAATGGTGATGGGGGTGGTGGTTGTTGTGGCGTGATCCTCAACTTCCCAGGATGTGAACGGATCTGGGGCGAGCAAAGGGAAGAAGGGAGGGGCTATGGTTAGCACTTCGTTTACAAGTTCATACCACAAGTGGGCTCTTCTGGACCTGATAAAACATCATCTTATCTCCGAGGAAACAGCCATCTATGCTTGGAATTTCGACATATGGCGTTGGGTTTCCTCAGTCACACAACTACTAATATGTGAACACTTCCCTCTCCTTCAAGCCCAACGTTAACGCGGAGACGATACAAATCCTCGCGAAATCGCCTGCTAGATCAAGCTTCAGTATTGTTAATACCTATTCTACATACCTTGCCAACCACCAAGAGCCTCGGTGCCCCAGCATTAAACCAGTACGTAAAAAAAGAGGAGCAGCAACCACGTTTCTCATGGGCAGGTGGTGGAACCGAGGAGTGCCTATCAAGTAGGCCATTGCCGGCCCGCTGTCAGAAGAACTACGGCCGGCTACTGCTTTTGCTCGGTGGCCTGGAAAAAAACCCGTCCTTAACGGATCCGCTGCTTCAGAAAAAAAAAAAAAAAAGAAGAAGGGTTCGGCGCTGATACCCTTTTCTTTTTTATGTTACACTCGTCATAAATTCTGAATTTTTTTTTATTATTAATATTTTAGTCGAATTTACCTTTTTGGTACCTAGTTTTTATTTTAACATATTTTTATTTTTCTCTCCCTCTTACGGCGCAAAGGTCTCCAGTGTCTACTAAGTTCGAAGCTACTGTCCTTCCCCCCCATCTGTTTATCCACCAGGGGATATAACTACGACCATCGCTCCCACCATTTGCCGCGGTTCTCTCCCACCTTCGTTCAGAATCCCATCATCATTGCGTCTTCCTTCCATCTTCCTGCTCCCCAAACTCTGAGCACGGAATCTCTGCCTCTTCTTTCATTCACACACTTTCTACTCCTTATATTCTTCTCCTAGTCTGTATCAATGGAACCTGCGGTACGGAAGCCCGAAGTGAGCTTCCACAGCCAGCGCAACATGCCCTCCAAGCAGCAGCGGGTGCCTTCGAAGCTCAAGGCCACCCCCAAGGATGAGCTTCACGATTTACTTTGCGTGGGTTTCGGTCCTGCCTCTTTGGCGATCGCAATTGCCTTGCACGATGCTCTGGACCCTTGTCTGAACAAGTCGGCACCTGCGCCTGGATCGCAGCCCAAGGTCTGCTTTGTCGAGCGTCAGAAGCAGTTTGCTTGGCATTCGGGCATGTTGGTCCCCGGTTCAAGGATGCAGATCTCCTTCATCAAGGATTTGGCGACTCTCCGGGATCCTCGCAGCAGCTTCACCTTCCTCAACTATTTGCACCAGAAGGATCGTTTGATCCATTTCACAAACCTGGGAACATTCCTTCCGGCTCGCTTGGAGTTCGAGGACTATATGCGGTGGTGTGCGCAACAATTCTCTGATGTCGTGTCTTATGGAGAGGAAGTGGTCGATGTGATGCCCGGAAAGACGGATCCTACCAGCTCGGTGGTCGACTTCTTCACCGTCCGCTCCCGCAACGTTGAGACGGGTGAGATTACTGCGAGAAGAGCGCGCAAGGTGGTGACTGCACTCGGTGGCTCTGCGAAGATGCCCCCAGGCCTGCCCCAGGACCCCCGCATTATGCACTCGTCGAAGTACTGCACCAATCTGCCTCACCTGCTGAAGAACCCGAACGAACCCTACAACATCGCCGTGCTTGGAAGTGGCCAGAGTGCTGCTGAGATCTTCCACGACCTGCAAAAGAGATACCCCAACTCAAAGACGACACTGATCATGAGAGATTCGGCTATGCGGCCTAGTGATGACTCTCCTTTGTGAGTATAATACCCCTTGCACGCCCGACAGGTCGCAACTAACAGCAAACAATATAGTGTTAACGAGGTCTTCAACCCCGAACGTGTCGACAAATTCTATAACCTCTCTGCCGAAGAGCGCCAACGTTCCCTCAAGGCTGACAAGGCCACCAACTACAGTGTGGTCCGTCTTGAACTCATTGAGGAGATTTACCACGACATGTACGTCCAGCGGGTCAAGAACCCCGACGAGAAGCAATGGCAGCACCGCATCCTCCCCGGACGCAAGATCACGCGAGTCGAACACCATGGACCTCAGAGTCGGATGCGGATTCACGTGAGGGCGACCAAGGATGGATCGGACAGCCTTGTCGGCGACGGCAAGGAGATATTGGAGGTGGATGCACTCATGGTGGCGACCGGCTACTACCGCAACGCACATGAACAGCTCTTGAGCAACGTGCAGCATCTGCGACCGGCAGGCCAGGAGGAATGGAAGCCGAGTCGGGATTACCGGGTCGAAATGGATGCCAGCAAGGTCAGCCCCTATGCTGGAATCTGGCTGCAGGGCTGTAACGAGAAGACACACGGGCTAAGCGACAGTCTTCTGTCGGTGCTGGCAGCACGCGGTGGAGAGATGGTGGAGTCGATCTTTGGCGAGCAGCTTGCGGGTGCAACGGTGCCGGTCACGAAGTTGCGCGCTATGCTGTAAAGGCTTTTCGCCGGATCGGAGACCCAGGAGGGGTTCCGCTTTCTAGACGCGTGAAATGATGGCGCTAGGGCGGACATTTTAATTTCCTTGGGACAAAAGAATGCCCCGGAAAAATGCATGCATATCCCCAAACAAATTGGTAGGGGGTGATATCTTCTTTTGCGATCATCTACTCTACTGTATCTGTGTTCATTTCTGTCTCACCACCTTATACTTTGTTACTATTGTTATTACCCCATCATCTGATTCCCCAAGTACCCCCATCGCGAGTTATATAGCCAGCCACATTGGAATTGTATAACGAATAGAGATCGGAATGCATCGAGTCTGTCCTTGTTGATTTTAATTCCACCGCTCATTGTGTTAGGAAGAAGGCCATGCTAATGGCGCACGTTTCTTTTTTCATTCGCTGCAGATGTTAATTCATTCTCCTTAAACTTTATCCGGCCCCCTGACACGTGCCTGTAGCCGACAGGAGGACGAAAATAAGTGCCTAGGAAAGAAAAAAGCGAGTGGGCTGGTCGCACAACCGCCAGTCTAGCACGGACCCGCTGACGTCAAGCGACCAGGCTAATTGGCCCTGACCAGATTAGCCGCCGCGAGTAATACGCAACGAGGGAATTATGGCGTTTCTGCATTTTGAGCAGGGACAACAAAAAAGGGAGAGCGAGGTTATTACCAGGAGGAGGGTCGATGGGATTGGGTGTAATTGTCACCAATTGGACTCTCATCAGGAGAAATTGAAGCGGGTGGGCATTCACTGACTAGCTGGCGCTCCAACCTTGGTAGAGGGTCGGGGAGGGATCCTGATAATCTGATCAGATAAAAATTTTCGCACGTTATCTGATGGCGCCATCCCCCAACCGCATCAGCGCCCATCGCCGAGCCAGGCGCGCTGTTTTTCCGCCGCGGTTCCCGCTCTCCACGCCCATTCGCTGCCAGGGACCACTTGGGTGGATGAAGAGACCCCACTCACTGATTGATTACGATGAGGCACCATGCAGGTTGATCCGTGTGGTCTCGTTTTTTTTTTTCTTTTTTCCACACCCACCCACACGCACGCACACACTAGCTTACCCTCTCGCTTCGGTATACGGGTTACTCAATTAGTTTGCTTTCTGGCCCCCTTTCCCCGACCATGCCTGCCACCAACTCTCCTTTGTGTCTCGGTTCCCGAGGAATTTTCTCGGAGTTAAACCTATACCGGTAGCATTAGAAATGGACCTCTCCGAAACACATCCAACGAGAGATTCCCAGACATTTTTGATCGATCAGGTAACAGCCTGATCAGTGATTGATAATTCTGAGCGGCCCCACTTTTCCCTCTCCTTCGTTCCCACAATACCAAGGCCCTAGGGACTTGGAGGTGAGGGAATAACGAAGACAACAAGGAAATAAGACAAAATAAGGAAAGAAAACCCATCCTGTTGTCCGGCCCGGCTGGATAAGGAGGCAATTCCGGTGCAATCGTCAGACCATGAGGAACAAATGGTGCCGTAATACTAATCTAGCTCTTAAGTAGCTATACACAGTACCTATCTGTCTGTCTGGGGGTTGTAGCTAACCCACAAACGGAGAAGAATCTAAGCCAGTCAAGGCGATTACTTGGCCTTCTCTCCTACTCTGGGACTCATCATCAAACCCAACTGCAATTATTAACACACCACGCTACTTCCTACTTTCTCAGGCATATGACAGACGATCTCTCGATGAATCTCGTATTGCTGGATAATGCAACAATTGATATGAACAGCCTTTGCTGCTACTGGCGTAGACAACCTGACCCGACGCGCCCACTAGACGAGACGAGACAAGACTAATCCCTAACCAGTACACGCGGAACCATGCGACTTGGGAACCGGAACGGGCGCCTGGAACAATCGACTCCCTAGGTAGACATGCGCCGATCCCCATTCAGGTCTGGGCCAGTGGCATGTCCACAGTTGTTATTATCATGATAATTATAATAATAATGACCATTATTATTCACCTCTCCCCCCGCCAATCGTAAAGGTTGTCAGAATAGTTTGCCTCCCAATTTTTTAAGGATTCGGCTGCAGTCTGTCCAGAGATCATGAGTAGGCACCTGAACTCATGTACTTACTGGTCAGGAAGGCAGACAGCCTTGACCAGCTTTACTCGCTAGCCAGCCTAAAGGTACAAAGTAAGTAGTCTTGCCGTTTCCGCGAACTCCGGAGCTCCATCCCCTTCTCCCCCCACGCGTATATCACGAGGGAGAAAAATAGTAAATAAATAACCAAAATATCTAAATCAAGACTAATACGTAGATACAGAAAACTGCGTCTGAGTTTACCAGGTAGAGAGACCGAGCTTGAATGTATTTCCAAACTAGCTTAGCTATGAACCTAGGGAAAGTACTATGTATTATGTAGCAGGCTGTGCTGTGACCCGATCAAACGGTCCACGCTTGTGGCAAGGCCGGCTATGCCAGGTACCGGCGACCGGTGTTCCATGTTCCAGGGTCCTGTTCTCACTTTCTCTTACTAGTTGTCAGGAGGGCCAAAGATCGAACGATCTGCAATCACAACCTGCAACTTGCACCCAACACAGCACAGTTTATCTGGAATATCATCCGTGGGGATGTCGAGAGATCAGCGAAAACATAAAAAAAAAAGTAAAAGACCCTGATCATCTGATGCATGTATCCATATTCTGGATAGTAGGCAGCAACACTTAAATCATTAATACTACGCATATTCCCCCATATAACGTGACCACCAAAGAAACAACAAAACCAGAGTCAACAATCACCGTATATAACCCTGCATAAAATAAAAATAAAGAAACAAACATCATAACCATCCCCGACAACCTCACCACCTTGCCCTAATCAATCAGCCCAACACCGCCCGTTCCATGGGTCCGTGAATTCTTCAATCCATTATCAGATGAAAATAAAACATAGAGCCCACTTGCCTTGACGAAGCGGTGGCCTGACCGCTTCAATCAGATAATGATATATTGGATCCGTGGTCCATGGATCATATCATATATTAATGCGCACTTGGTGCCGCTACGTCCGTTTCTGTTCTACGTCCTAATTAAGTACCCAGTTTTCAGGTCGTGACGAAGAGTGGTCCCGAACATATGTACCCAATGAAAATGGAAAGTACGGGAATGCAAGTGTGTGGAAGCTAGACAGACCCACCGCACAGGCTTGCGGTTACGAGGAATATTAGGTAGGTAGCTGTCTGCCTAGATGGAATCATTAAAACTTGGGAGTATGCATCAATGTACGTAGATACATGATTAGTCTACGTACCGAGAAAGAGCGAGAGAAAGGCACAAGAGGAAGCGAGGAAGCCATACACACCCCACGACACAATAATAGCTCTGAGAATACAAAAGTAGAAAAAAAGAAGAATCCAGCCCTCGAATGAAAGGGAAAAGGGAAAAAAAAAAAAAAAAAGAAATCCACATCCAGCAAAAATACGATCAAATCAAATCAATCAATCAATCAAACCGCACCTGCCGAGATAAGATCTTAGCGTGACATTTTGACTTTGGGTCTCTAAGGTTTTAAAGCCACAACCAGACGGAAAAATAGGTTTCAGACCAATCGTTCCCATTCCCCTTACTCCAAAGTAGAAACTTTCTCCAAGGTTCGAACACGAAATAAACAGAAAAAAGGAATAAATACATATCATGCATGCATGCATGCATACTTCGTAATTTTATTATTTGCGACATCGGCTTTTTCGGCTTCAGAAGCTTGGTTAGGTATGGGGCGCGGGTGTGGAGATTATCTTCGTATGTATGAATATTGTATAGACGCTGTATGTACGTTACTTACGGTCAGTTATTCTCATCATGTTCTCCACCGATTACTACCCTTTTGTACTGGTCCGTATCCTTCAGTGGTTATCGTACTGAGACATAGGCCTCTCTCCCCCCTGTACTATTTACTCTCTCTCTCTTTTTCTTCCCCTTTCGCCCTCTGTCACACATTACTCTATGCGATTGTCTTCTCCCCGCATCTGTGTTTGCAGGTTAATGAATGCAATTGTACTTAGTGCGCTGGGCTATTATGGGTTTCAGAATCGTTGGCTTTCCCGAGAGCGTTTCTAATATTCTGAAAAGGCAGCAGCTAGCTACAAAGCAAGGTGAGGGCTTCATTTATTTCCTTACTTTCGGTTGGTATATATAAGTCTGCAATGTCTGCTACTATTTGGTGATCTGCCAGGCTATATCTGTGGGAAGTTCAATGTCCTTGATTTAAAGTAAATGTATCTACTAATATATCATAATCTTTATATGCAGAAGATAATACATGAAGATAATGTGAGGGCATGAAGGGATAAAACACCATCCGCGACCATCTATTTCAGTCAAACATATCATCAGAAGAAAGGGCTCATCCGGTATTCATTAGATCGCATATTGGAGATCGAGACATCTGGGAAATTAGTTGATCCTCTTGAGGGCATAGTAAGAACCCTTGATGACCACTCAATCCAGGACACCAGAACGTGTTTATGCATTCCGTTCCGGGTCCTCGTCGGCCAGGCTTCGATATCTTCCGCCGCTGTGCATACGTGACGGCATCTCGTACATCCGGTTGTAGTTGATTACTTCACCACCGAGCATACCAGATCCCGCCTCCCGCTGTCCAAAGTACGGAGCCGGATCGCACCAGAAGTCCCGGCAGTTGGTGACTACACCTCGAGAGAAGGGATTCTTCGCCCGAGAAGCACGCGGACCATCTCGCAACCCATCCTTTGCTGTCGCAAAGAACGCATCGATACCGAGAAGGGAGGTCCACTGCTTCAAGCAGCCGCCCCTCCGGTGCCGGTGGCCATGCGCAAGGGCTGGGTTCGGTCCCTGACCAGCAGAGGAAAGGCCAGCTGCATCGAGTGAGGTAGTTCCGGCAGCCAAAGCCGAAGCAAAAGCACGAGAGCTTGGGTAGCTTCTGTCAATCGAATGGCCCCTCATGTTTTCGTAAGTCGTCTGATTCCGCGAAATTTGGACAAGCTGAACAGCACAAAGCATAGTGACCCAGACCAGCTGTATGATGACCCACACATCAAGGATGAGGGTGAACGTGTCACGAAGTACAAAATCACATAGCGCGTCGTTAATGACATTGCAGGTCGGATTAGCAGGTGCTGGCAAGACATTGATGTCTACAGTAGCCGTTAGTCTTTGATCCGGTAAAAAGAGGAGTTGACACTTACAGGAGTATGTCAGCTGCACGAAGAAAATTATACCCGCTTCAAGACATGTGATGTATAATACAAAATGGCGCAGATTGTTGGCGCCTACGCAGTTATCGATCCACGGGCAGTGACTGTTCGGGATGTCAATGTTTGGGCTTTCGACTTCAGCCTCAATCAGGGACTTACTGGTCATGCTTTGCAACACAGCGCCCGCAGCGCTTGCAATGCTTGCTCCGCAAAGGCTTTCGGACCATGCACGCAACGCAGAAGTTCTCTTCGTCAAACTTCCATTGCTCAAATAGTTCCGCAATGACTGTTCGTTGCTGATTTCTGCTGCCAAGCTTTGGAACAAAACCGGGATCTTCAATCATCGCGGTGAAATAGAAATAAGTCGTTGCTGAAAAGAAGAGAGCAAAACAAATATTCGATATGGGATTTGTGGTATATGTGGCTGGGCAGAATGTATTGTTAGTAAACTCTGGCCGGTGCGTCGCAAAACCTATCTAACTGGAAAGGAAATATGTCATGCGAAGAGCAGGGCACGCCTCACCTGGTAGCACGTAGAAGATGTATCTCACACCCACCCAGAACAAAGAGCCTGCGAAGACGCCCGATAGGTACGGCTGGATTGCGGATCAGTGTGACGAACGAAGCGAGGCATTGCAAGGGGCGTCGTTGACATACCGTCTTCTGAAGTATTCTGTACTCTGAAATGCTTTGACTCGCCACTTTCTGGGCCAGCCATTGAAGCCCATAAGCTGTTGCGATCATGATAGGGATAGCAGCGAATACAACCAGATTACTGAGAATCCAGACGGCTACGAAAATCATTAAGAAAGGCCACATGAAGAAGAACTTGGACATAGTGCTCTTGTTCCGCACCCACGGCGTCAATCCGAAGGGAAGAACCTTCGTGTTCCCATCGAAGTCATAGCCACATTCGTCCAGAGCACGATACCACACACGCGTGGTATTCATTTCGCCCGCTACCGTTGCTGGGGTCTTGCCATCCCTGGTCTTTGCGAACCTATCGGCGCCATACTCAATGAGCTTCTGAACGCAAGGCAACGATCCCTTAACCAAGGCCCAGTGTAAAGGAGTTAAGCCGCTGTCGTCAACAGCATTGGCATTAGCGCCCCAGCGCAGATACAGGTCCACGCAGGCGGGGAATCCCTTATATGCCGCCCACATCAAACCTGTATGGCCTTGTTGATCGGTAACGTCCACCGGGATCTCCTGGTGAAGTAAAAGCACAAGCAGGAAGGCATTTCCATCGATAGTAGCCAGATGTAAGATGTTGTAGCCCTGAACGTCGGTAAGAAGAGGGTCCGCGCCGTGCTGAAGTAACAGGTGCACGATATAATAGTGACAACGCTGAGCTGCCCACATTGCGGGTGTAGCTACAGATTCGCCTCCCTTCGCATTGACGTCGGCGCCGGAGTCGAGTAGGAACTTGCACATGGCATATTGATTGTTGATCGCAGCCCACTAGAAGAAGAGAATAGCATTGTTAGTTCGGGATAAATGGAAGCAATGTCAAGAGCCAAGCGCAAAGGACATATCGGCAACACGCACATGTAACGGGGTAATTCCTTCTTCGTCCTTGTAATTGGCGTGGAACTTCTTCTCATCGAACATTTTTTGCATAACTGCAATCTCGCCTATACGGGCAATCTGCATGACATCCTCCCCAATGGGGATTGAGCCCTTGACACCACCGCGTTCCGGTTTCATGTCTTTGAGTTCAACGGTCGCATCATGCTGGGTCACTTTCGGGGGAGTGATGGTGCCTTTGCCGCTGGGGACGGAATGCGGACTCTGCCCCAGACCAGCAGAGCTGCTGCTGCTCGGAGTCCCGGAAGACATTTCAAATTATAGTCGGGATTAACCTAAACTGAGTCCAACTCGCGCGCAACTGTTCCTGGATGAGAGAGAGGAAAGGGAGACAGAGAAAAGCCGCCGCAAAAAGGACGTAGTTGTAGAAGGGTTCGGCGGTCACGAGTTAGTTGAGTAGTCTTGCGGAACTCGACCTAAAGGAGCATTGCGAAGCGAACTGAATGTCTTAAAGCCCGTACTGTCGTTTCCAGAAAGGCAACGGTGGCCTTCGAGGCTGTGATGAAGAAGAGAAGACCGAAATTTAGATGGGGGCGGAAGAACAGCTGAGCGTAGTAGCAGTAAACCATGGCGCAGCAGGCAAGCCCCGGGGATGAGCCTCTCCCTTCCCGAAAGGCTGACGGATCGTCCTTCCACTCCGCCTTTCGCGACGTGGTCTACCTTTACCCACAACTTGCCTGCATTATTACTAATGCGAATCCGAACTCCCCGACTTGAACGAGAGAACGAGTTTTAACTACGCCGCAATTTCCTTTACTTTGCGTACAATTTCAAGTCCGGACCTTCAAGCTATATTATTTTGATGGTAAAGGATATAACGCGCGAACACCCTGAGAACAGAATTTCCGTCCGTCAGTTAACTAACTACTGTTGCGCCCGGCAGGCATTACTCAGCCCACCTGTGTATTTAGCTGGTAATCAACCAGTCGCTAGTAGATAGTTAACTGATGGGGCAGTTAGGCAGCCGCATTGTGATACGTGCACACAGATTGTCTCTCCAAATCGGAAGCATGAAAAGTCCTTCTTCGATCTGGCATTCTCATGGTACGTAGTAGAGTATCCCAGAAAAGGTGATGCTCAAGTTGAAAGGCCACAGTCCAACATGTGTCCCACAATTCGCCCCTGACCAACTTGCGAATACCTTTCCAGTTTAATTAAGAACTACAAAAGGCCATCTCCAAGGCGATTGCAGGCCTCTCAAAAGCAATTTCGCCAAATGGGAAATCAAGATGTCGATGTCCGCTCGACGCACACATCGAGGCTGAGATCAACGTAGGGGATCACTGCAACAGCCTATATCTCGGAGTAGTCTAACTTGGTCGACGAGCATATCCGCGTCGACTCGTAGTTCGAAATCCGCAAGGAAACAGAAACTGATCTCGAGTCTCGACAGTTCGCGCTCAGTCACCCCTCCAACCTTAGCAACCCGGCTATGGGGATAGCTGAGGTCTTCCAAGGACTTCATCGCCACGCGAAGTCCAGCAAGCACCAGGCGATGCATGTTCTTCCGGCTGACGACTATCACCCGTTCGACAGTCGCCATCCTCATGATGTACATGCTTGTGGCAAGATAAACACCTGTAGACATAGGGCAGAACTTGTGCACACGCAGCAAATATTCCTCCAACGTGATAGGTGGCTGCCGTTTCGAAGAGAATCTTTTGGACAGCACAGTCTGCTGTTTTGAATGATGACCTGCTTCATCATAGCTTTCTGTGGAGCGATATAACCCAGTGACCCTTATTGGTGTAGATTCCCCGCTAGATATACAGTCACTGTGGGCCAAGGGCCCGGGAACAGGAACGGCAGCTCCCTGAGAATAACCCACTCCTTCTGCGGTCGATTCCACAAGCATTTCAATACCAGCGCACAGTAGTCCCAGTGCTACCGTAGGCGAGATCTGGAAGACATCAGTTGGGCAGTTGGACCCCAGTATTGATTCATCTTGTTTCGGTGAACGGCTTGGGTCAGTTGCCTCCATAAGGCTCGCAACAGTCGACGGGCTCTCCTTGTTCATCGCGAGGCCTTGTACGTTGTCGGAAAATCAAGGGTAACAATACGACAGATGGTATTGGACCTACAGGCTGATATTGGCTTCCCAGATAGGTATCGCATGGTCGGGACACTGCCCAGCATGTAACGATGTTGAAATATCTGCACCAGATACGAGTTGAATCGGCTGCGTGGGCTGGACAAGTAAAAGCCTGTGGTTTGAATTAAACACGGCGGTGCTTAGTTTTCCTACTAGGGAGGAAACATCTGTGCGACCTGTCAGTGGGCGGCTATCAGTAAACAATGCTTGGGTTGCTCATATTACCTGTGTGTCTAGAGGTGGAAATCAGCTCAATCACCGGTCAGTAGCAGCAGCAGATGACTGGGAAAAGCACACAGGAAAGCCAGCCTTCTAGATCACTATACATAAATGGGAGAGAGGGATTGAGTTTCAAGTGTATGAATGGAATGTGAAAGGCGAGGAATGGAGTTAGCCGGATATTAGTGCGCCCGATCTCAACCCAACCGTTTTATTCTGTTACCCTTTCAAAACAGACGATCAATTCTGCTTCCACGCAAGAGAGTGGTATATCTGCTTCATTCAGACAAAGAGCTCTAAATTTACGACCCAAGTGGCGCAAATATCCAAGTACACATGTCTCTTCCCATAATTGTGGGCTGATTGTTTCCATATCAATTGACAATGGAATCGAGGATGTTTCCCAGCACCTATCACTTTCCCGCAGTACAAATGGAGTGACGCAATAATGTATAGTGCCTCTAGTAGACGTGGCATTCCATGGGCAGGCACGAACAGCGCGTAGCTTCATGATTTAGAAAGCGTATTTCAGGCCGCTCGGGGCTCACTCGTCCAGGGCCTTCGAACCCCACCTCTCTACAAACTTCTCACGCCCTCTCTCTCGTCTATGGACCACGCTCATGTCGAGTCCCTCCAGCCCCTTTTGAACGCCCTTCAAATCATCTTCGAGATTGGAAAGCTTTCTCTGATTATCCAGATTCGCAAGTGAGGTCTCGAATTCCGAATCGGCGTGCAAGGAAGTGGAGAGAAGCCGGATCGCCCGGTCTGTCGGGAGTAACTCAGCTATGAGCGGCGAGTCTGCGGCATTACCGTGGTCATGTAGACTCTCAGTCAACTGATGTCGTTTCTCTTTTAAAGTCACTGCGCATTCACTAGCTTCGTCTGCATGAAGCATAGAATCCAGAGATAATCCTACTCGGCGTAACACTTTCGCCATCAATTGAGGATCATGGGGCCGACTATTGTCTTTTTGAGCTGAAGAAGAAATTGAAACGGGCTGTACAGAGGAACGTCTCAGGGTCTCTCTTCTAGGATTAGATGGACCCAAGAAGATATCGCCAATCTCTGATCGGTGCGCAGCAGCAATAGCTTCTAGGGTTCCACAGTAAGATTCCCTGTCCTGCAGGCACTTGACAAGACCATTTGTAGACGATGCCATCTCCGATACTACGTCCAAAACCTAGAACGCGTCAGTGCAGCAAACCAAAGAGGCCATTCATCTCTTACATAGTCCAGCGTTTCATGGGAGGCACTTTGCAGTTCCTCGTAGTGACTGCTTAGCTCGCCTATTATAGGTACAGCGAACTGTTGTCTTGTAGACATCTCAGCCAGTACATCAATTTCGGGATAGAGAGATTCAAGCTCTTCCTCCAATGCGGCCAACGGCTCATCTTCAGTGGGTGCTGGCTCAGTTCGCATTTTCATTAGTCCAGCCCGTATCGATTCCAGATATAACCGATCGAGTCGACACTTGATCTCATCGGCAACACACTGAGCAAGAGCAGTACATCTCTCGGAAGCTATCTTCGCACTATTCTCATCTTGTTGGCTCGTTTCTATACCGGATGCCAGCCTCTCCAGATTCGCGATTAACCTATCATCTTCCTTGAAGCGAGCTGTCAGAGACGAGAGTATCCGTTTGGCGTCTGCTGAAGCTTGCTCCGATACACCTCTTAACTCTGATTCCAATGCGTGAGCCAGGTCACAAGACTGTATAATATACTCAGCAAAGCTCTGTGACTAAATCAACATAAGGAAGCACTACCGCGGCAGTTATATTCTGTCTTTCTGACGTATGTTTCTGGCGCAATCGTGCTATGTCCCGATTTTGTCTGAGCCCCAATTCGTCATCCGAGGTGATAGATCTGTCTAAGCTCTCATATTGCGATGCTAGCGTGTTGGTCTGTCTCTGTATTGCAGCCGTGGAGGCATCTAGTGTTTCAATGGCGCGTCGAAGGTCATCATCCACAAGTGGGCGAGTCGCTTTGAGGTTTGAATTGGCGAGAAGAGTCTGCAAGGCACCGGAGTCTTCAAGTTTTGAATATCTATTATTGACCAAAGCAATTAGTGACTATGAAAGGTACGTTGCGAAGCGGGATTAGAAATACAGTATGAGCTCTTCTTGCGACAACAATGTGTCGGTACTGAGATGCTCCGTCAGCCATTTTGCAATCTCAGTACCCTCTGTCCTATCAGCAAGAGCGGATCGGATTTGGTCTCGATTTATCGAGAGTTCGCGATCTTTGAGAGCGGAGATAATGGTCGCTGATGGGTCCATTGAATGATTGTTTTGGTTGGGTCGCGATGATGGGTTCACTGCGCTCCGCTCGGAGTCGGATCTGTTCTGCTGCCGCCGCCTCAGGACAACCTTATCAGATAATCCACTTCAACATCCCACTCTGGTGGGTTGAAAATCATCACACTCCTCAACAGCGCTAGGCGTGATACTTTTACTAAATCGGATGGATATAAGCAGGTCTGTGAGTTCTACAGAAAGCTCTATTTATTCAGCAACAATTACCTGGTGAGTAAGAGGGAGTTTCTGAAAATACCCGCTACTGTCTACTTTCATACATTTACGATATGCTCAGGGACTGTTGACACACCGGTATCCACCCGAACTGAGTCAGTCCATTTCGCCTCTCATGCCTCAGCCTCGCCCTCCACTACAATCTGAGGATAGTACCATGTAGTGACGGCGATAATAACGTAGACCAGAACGCAGAGCCCTCCTTCCAAATAGTTGGACTTGCCATCTCGAAGAAAGTTTCCAACAACTAAGATGGACAAAACGACCAAAACGATCATGAAGATCTCGAAATTCAGACCCATGTCCTTGCCAATGCCCCAACCCACAATGACTGCAAGCGGTGCGTTCAACAGCGCAGTCTGTATCGACGGTCCCAGGCAGTGGAAGAGTGCAAAATTGATCTGATTGTCCCTATTTTGGAGTCAGAAGATGCGGAGTAAACAGTCGCCAATGGATGTAATTACCAGGCTTCATCGATAGCAGTCAAGTGCTCTGCTGCCTTCTCAACAAGCGGCACAAGAATAAGGCCCATGAAGTTGTCTGATACACCTCTCTCATTCACAATATCCTCTATTTCCTCCACCAGAAAGACGGCCGACATGCAGACGCATGCAAGAGCTATTGCAATGGCAACAAAGCATTCAATTAACGTAAGCTTTGCCCGCTTCATTTCCCGTTCGCGATCTTCATCCAAATGCTCGTCGAATTCAAGGACTTCGTCGAATATGCTATGATGGCTATGGAGGTTGTAGAACAGATACCTAAAGCATGTGAGTAGACAGATCCATAAAAGTATCTCGGGACACGACAACATACATGATAAAAGCCACTAGGAGTATGACGGCTGTGGCTCTGCTAATGATCAGTGTAGACTGATTCAGTGTTTCTGTCGAGATTTGTACATGTGTATGCGATGCATTGCTTTTTAAAGTCGAATAGAAGGCACTCGGGATCAGAAGGCCAAACCCTGCCACTAGCAGGAGTCCTGAGCCTACTTCGCTGACGGCCTCATGGAATGATTGATCCTCACGCCCAATGCCTCCAAAGAAAAAGCATAGGCCTAAGCAGAGAAGGAGGTTCGCCAGGATAGAGCCTAGAATGGCGGCTTGAATAACAGGGATCAGATTGCCTCCCCTGTCCTTGTGGATCAGAACCATGAAAAGGACGATTTCCACAACGGAACTGAGAAAGGTCTCCAGCAAGACACCGAATACTTTGGGCAGCTTCTTGGCTAGCTCGCCACCCGCGAAACCAAGCAAGTTCGCTGAAGGTACCATTGCGATATAGTTGAGGGCAAATATCCAAACATGAAGGTCTGGCCGAGCGAAATGAAGAGCAATCGCAGCTGGAACGAAAGGCCAGAGGACGTTCACCAGCATGGAAAGAGTACAGGTGCTCCGAAAACAAACGCGCAGAAAGTGAAGTGGATGGACGCCAGTACGCCCACTCTCTCCAGCGGTATCGATTCGAAACAGACTATGGTGCCGTCGGTGTCCTTTCTCATTGTGAGTCGGCAATAATGTACCACTCTGCGACTTCGAAGCCGATCGAGTAGCATCCGGCGTCAATATTCCATCATGCTGTGGAAGGCCTCCTTTCTGAGAGGATTGTGACTTCTGTCTGCCAACATCATCCGGATTAGAGCCCATCCTGGGGGAATGCGTTGTTGATTGACTCGGTGATCGACCAGAATCAATCTTTTACGGATTGGACACGGGCTTTATTATAAAAGAGAGCAAGGCGGAGGTTTTCCTGAATGAAACCGATAGTGAGATAAAAACAAGGTGGGTGATACTGGTTTGCATGCTCTAGTAAGCTCAGGCACACATCGGCATCGTCAGAGGTGACTTGAGGCCCAAAGCCAAGAAGGATAGAGGACAAAAGGACGGGAGTAGTAAAAGACAAGCAAGATAATGTATGGACACCGGAGATTATGTACGGGGGATAATAATTGTGGACCTATATCATATAAAAAAAAAAAAAAGGAAATAACAGGAGTTTCAGCTGAATATGCTTGGCTTTGCAGATGTGGTCGACGACTGTTATTGTGTACTATTCCATTAGTAGAAAGGAAAGACACGAGGGGAATTGCTGGGGCTGGGACCGTCTGCATGAAGGAAAAGTTAATAAATCACCTTCAGCAGACGTCTTTTTTTTTTTTTGTCCCGCTGATCATGATCGCGATCATTCTGGAGATAGATCTACCCAAGTAATGCAGTCAGGAGGCTACACAGTACAGCATATAGGCAGTATTGTATGCTGGAATTTACGAACTGTCATCTTCCCAAAATTCCTGTGGAATACTGGACAGGGTACTTCACTGGACATCACCAGAGTGACTCTGTGCAGACCGTCACTCAGGAGAATCGGGCCCTTCAGCTGAGGCGATCCCTGAGTTCCTTAGTTTACCCTTGGTTGTCAAAGTTCAAAACATCGTGCCCACGCTGTAGTCTTGGCGAGCCTATGAGCATCGGAGTGCGGCCTCTGGATGGAGCCGTGGCGCTTCGGCAGGTGAGCTGTAAAGGCTCACTCCCCCCCAAAAAAATAAGCTGTCAACAGATACAGACCCGTCAGCTGCTTGGTAGTTATCATCCCGCCGCCTATATTTCGGATATAGATGGTGTCTCCCATGACAGTTATAGGATAGGAGAGATTTGCTGCAAGGACATTACGGTTATGCCAAGCATGCTGAAATTTATGCCCATGGACTGTGTACCATAGTCGCTGCTTCAAGGAGGGGCTGGTTCACGCATTGTCGATACACAGCCACGATTGACTCGCGTCGAATCCTGCAGCTCGCCTCCAGGTGGGGACTCACCGAGAGTCGAGAGCAAGCGGTAAATATGGCCTAGCTTGGCGGGCTCCCGCAAACTTCCCGGCAGTTGGCTTGCTTGACAAGTGTCTCGACAGAGCTTAACCAATAACTCAAAGCATGAATAATAGAATCCCCCATGGGCTTCTATATCCTCCCTCAAAATCTACAATTGCGCACTCACTTAGCACACAACGGCATAGATAGTAGTAACCAACATCCCGCAATTACAACTATCCATCTGACACGAGTGCGGGTACCAATGGGAGGAAGGAAGCAGTGGAAGACTCAACACGATTTGGTAAAGCAAATATTGTGTGTATAGTAAAAGAGTGGATTCCAGAACAGACCCCAGCATTGAAATGGATATGTGACAAGAGGCAAATCAGTTAAAAAACAGGGTTACGCCGTCATTTATCAGAGGCTTAGACAGGATCCATGGCCCATAATCCAAGTGTCCTAAGTAGAAATGCCAGCAAATGCAGCGGTAACATAGTTTTAGTGCTGACACACATCAGTTAGTTATCTCTCTTTCATACTCCTCTCTCTCTCCCCCCCCTCTCTATGTTAATCCCCAACGGCGAAATAAGAATATAAGCTAATGCAATGCCTATCATCCACATGGAATAGTTTAGAGAACTTTACCCGCCGATAGAAGATGTCAATTTTTATCTTATCACTACATTATTTGGGAATGTATCCTATTGCTGGTTGCAGGAGAGAACTCCTGGGACTAGTACCACTGTTAGAATGCTGTTTTCTTCAGTCACCGATATCGTATCCTAAGGACACCTCTATCCTAGTTCTGACGTAGACCAACACTAATCTGACCTACTCTATTTCCAAAGTATGGAGTACTAGTAGTATTAGGTCATGTGGTGCCTATTGGAGTACCTTATTTTCACTCGGGACCTGCTATCGGACATCGGTATTGCATGAGTGTGTTTTCTGATTGGCGGTGCGTGTGAATACCCACCTTGCCTCCACCAAGTCCCTGGAAGAAATGGAAGAAGCTAAATCATGAAATGATAGAGATCGCCCGATAGCATAATCCCTTCAGTGTAAAGTCGACAATTGACATTCATTATCCAACTCCCGAATAATGACAACCTTATGCTAACTATACTGTCTCATGTAGCCCAACTCACACCAACATGTCAGACCACATAGCGATCACGTGGTGCTTATGCAAGAATTTCGTGAACTCGAGCGAAATGGCGAATGCGGTTGGTTGGCATGGCGTAAACGGCTACCGTCGGGAGGGGTATACCACCAATCTGTTACGAGATTTTTTGCCTTGCCAAAAAAATTTCCTTCTTCTTGTCTTATTTCCTTACTTCTGATACCCCTATTATAGTCGCACAGGGCCCTCAATTGCAGCTCCGTAAATTATCTTACCTCACGATCAACCCATTTGACGAAGATCTGCTATCTCCGATACCTACCATGTCCACGATAACCACCCCGGCCGGTCCTCCGGTGGCCCTTGATACAATCACCCAGAATATCGGCAATACTCCCTTGGTCAAGCTCAACAGGATTCCGCGCAGCCTGGGAATCGAAGCCACCGTCTATGCCAAATGTGAATATTTCAATGCTGGTGGGAGCGTGAAGGATCGCATCGCTTTGCGCATGATTGAAGAAGCGGAACGATCTGGGCGCATCAAGCCTGGCGATACTTTGATCGAACCTACCAGCGGTAACACGTAGGTCCCGTTGCGCAAATCACGCACATGATCCTCAAAGAAGATGCCCTAACTCCTAATCTCTATCACTAGCGGTATTGGTCTAGCTCTCGTTGCGGCCGTCAAGGGTTAGTTGAACCAGCATTTCGACGTTGGGATCTTGTTGGCTAATAACCATCTCGGAGTATGCAGGCTACAAGACTATCATCACTCTGCCTGAAAAAATGTCCGCCGAGAAAGTATCAGTATTGCGAGCGTTGAATGCTACCATTATCCGTACTCCCAACGAAGCGGCATTCGACTCTCCGGAGTCCCACATTGGCGTCGCAAAGCGCTTGGAGAAAGAGCTTCCGAATGCGCACATTTTGGACCAGTATGGAAACGTGAACAACCCACTCGCCCACGAGCTTGGAACCGCGGAGGAAATTTGGGTCCAGACAGAAGGCCGGATCAGTGCGGTTGTCGCCGGTGCTGGCACTGGTGGAACGATTACTGGTATCTCTCGCGGCCTCAAGAAGCACAACCCCGATATCCAAGTCATTGCAGCAGATCCTCATGGGTCCATTTTGGCACTTCCTGCGGCGCTGAACGACGAGCATCTGAACGAGCCTTACAAGGTCGAGGGTATCGGATATGATTTCATTCCCGAGGTTCTGGATCGCCAGGCAGTTGATAAGTGGTACAAGACCGCCGACAAAGAGTCGTTCCAATACTCTCGGCGGTTAATCGCCGAGGAAGGTCTTCTGGTTGGTGGAAGCAGTGGAAGTGCCATCTCCGCTTTGGCGCAAGCCGCGAAGGATAATAGATTCAAGAAGGATGACGTGGTTGTCGTCGTCCTGCCCGACAGCATCAGAAGTTACCTTACCAAGGTAAGTTAATCTATACTTTTTGGCTGCTTCTAATGAGTCCTCTAACATATCACAGTTTGCCGATGACGACTGGCTCGCTGCGAATGGCCTTCTGTCGGCGACCCCTGACCCCACATCCTTCCCAGCGCTACAGCCGCAGGCGAAGAGCGATGCCTTCGCCGGCTCACAGGTCAAGGCTTTGAGGTTGAAGCCGATAACGACAGTCCGATCCAATATCCCCTGTGAAATTGCCATCGAAATGATGCGCGACAGAGGTTTCGACCAGCTGCCCGTTCTTGCTCCTTCCGGGAAGAAGCTTGTCGGACTGCTTACCCTTGGAAATGTTCTCAGCCGGCTGACGCATGGACGTGCTACCGGGAAGAGCCCAGTTGCTGATGTCATGTTCGATTTCAGCAGGATTCCGGAAATTGTCACCGATCCCAGAGATATGGGGCTTGCCAGCTCGCAGGCCGGCCAGAACGGTAGTGCTAACGCGAAGCCTCATATCAGAGATCGGAAATTTGTGGAGATTACCATGGACACGCCTTTGAGCGTTCTCAACCGATTCCTTGAATGGAACAGTGCAGCTGTTGTCACTGAGCGAGATGACCAAGGAGCAATGAAGCCGGTTGCGGTGGCGACCAAGGTCGATCTCCTCACCTGGATGCTTCACAACGACAACAGTGGCACCTCAGGTAATTAAGATTATGATATTCTAGCGACTGTAACTTAGATTTTCAACCGGTTTGCTATCGATTGGAGAGTATCAACTATTTCTCCAATTTTCAGTATTTCTTTTATTTTCTAATTTTCATGGGTGGATGGATGCCCTCTGGCACGCAGCTCCGAGTCATCCAGTCATATAACGGAGGCTATGCAATGGGCGAGATGGAGTTACTTGGAGCAATCTAGATAATTTAGGTCAAATGAGCCTCCAATCGAACAATCCCAATAAGTTGGGGGATCTTGCTGTGTGTAGGGCTGACGTACGTAACTCACAGAAGCCCGGCATGACGTCTCGAGTCCGCTATCTTGTAACTATATTGAAATAGCAATGCATTCGAACTGTGCCCCCATAAGATTATCAACGATAGAAATCCCTCTTACCTGTATATATTCTCTTGCTTCAGATATCACTTGACATCTATAATGACAGGCATATTCACCTAGTTATAGAGAATTCTCCTTAAGAGGACACACCACCGCTGGATGGGAAAGTGGCTTTGGTAACAGTAAGTCTACTATTTCGTTACCGAAATATTCAAAAAAAAAATATGTAGTATAACCGAGAAATCCAAATATCACGGTTTTCCAGGAGTTTATTGCTAACATGGCAGTCAACAGGGTGGTCAAGGAGGCATAGGAAGAGTTAAACAATTCTTCTCTGCCCTAGTTATCGCAGCGACTTTGTGATACGAACATCGCAACTCTCCTTCCACGCCGAGCCCTGAAGCAGGATGTCAGACTGAATGATATCTAGAGATTACCGCCCAGCTTCTTACTCATAATATAGATAGGGTTTTGGTCCTCGGTCGAAACAGCGACAAGTTCCTAGCAGCCAAAGAAGAATGGCAACGTCGTCATATCAACCTAGGCAAGGACAACAAGAGTCACTTTCATTCAATGCGGTTTGGGCGATATTTTTGCCGTGAAGGAAGCAACCGACCAGGCCGCAAGTATAACAAATAGACTAGATATCCTCGTTTGCAAGGGCGGTATGACACCTTCCTATATACGACCACCCTTCCCTTCACCAGCATACTACTAGCGGCATTTGATTGATTAAGAACAAATTCTATAGGCCTCGGTGTCACAACCAAGAACGAACAATCACCTCAGGTGAAAATGGTCTTTGCGGCAAATTGTATTGGCCCCCAGGAACTGGTCACCCTGCTCTTACCACTCTTATAAACGTACAGTAAATCTAGAGAAGCCCGGATTGTTGTCACTAGTTCCTCGCTGCACTCGGCATGCCATAACCTGGATTTGAATCAGCTTACCACGCCTATGCGTGTGATGCCTCTGCATCCGTATATTGATGGCTTTTGGGGTTATTGTCGTTCCAAGTTGGGAGAATGTCTCACTCGTCGAGTCGAGCAAAAGGCTCCGAAGCTGGAAACATCTACGTCAATGCTTTCTTTCCTGGGAACATCGTCACAGAGCAGTGGAAGGCCTGGGACGAGTATGTAGAACTTACTCTCGGTGCAATGTCCCCTTACATCTTTTCAATCATCGGGCAAAGTACCCAAGACGGCGCCGCCACTGCCATCTATCTGGCTACAAGCGATCGGATTCGTCTCGATGGTATTAGCGGCCAATACTAGATTCCTACTGCCAAGCCAGACGCGGACGACTGACATTGGAAATGACCTGGTTCTCGCCTGCGACCTTTGGGTCCATATCCTTACATTTCACCCTCTCTGTCCCTTACTCTTCTCCTCAGAATCCTGCTTGTGTAACTGGATTGGATAGATACCAAGGTGATAGAGCATCTAGGCCGCCATGGGCAAGAAGAGTCCTGACGGCAGCTCCTCCGAGAAGTATCCGTCAAAATTCGCAGGTTATTGCATATTTTTGGCTAAAGTTCAGGTATATCATGATCCCAAGGTTCCCGGTTTCTGCTCGTGATGATCGTGCCGGCGCATAGGGCTTGTATGGACTGTCTGGATTGTATGTATGAGTTTGTATTTTTAACAAATGTCTTGTATCGTTTCATCCCATCTCTGGGGCCAGTAGCACTGTCAATGGCCCAAGTCATACATAAATATTCGGTTCAGAGGCATTGACCGATCCATTCCTCCCACTTTCTGACGCCGGCCCCGAGGTTGCCCTCCTCATCACTCTTGACTGCGCCGCCGACAATGTCAACAATCAGCCCAATTTCATCTTCTAGGCCTCTGAAGGTGAACTTAATCCGAGTGTCAGTACTTCCCAGAATATCGTCTTCGCCCTCATCAATTCCAGCGTCAGCGCTAGCATCCATGAGACCTTTGCTCTTGGACTTCCTTATTCTGTCAATCTCCGCCTCCAGCTTTTCACGCACGGAACCTGGAGGTAAGGCTGTGAAAAGGTCTTGCTTGTTGGCCACCACGAGAACGGGGATCTCCGAGGCTGCTTTCGCGGAATTCTTGCCCTTCTTAAGAGCCCGGTTCTGGAGGGCTAAAAGCACATCATACAGATACGAAGCTGTATCTCGCAATGTTTCAGCCTCCACAAGAGCAGCCGTGTCGACCATAAATAGGATTCCACGCAACTTGGACTTTACATCCTTGGATGTTGACATCGATAGCAATGTCGCAAGTCCCTGAGATCCCCGCAGTTTTCCATGGCCTGGAGTATCCCATAAGCGGTACTTGACGGGGTTCTTGGAAATATCCTTCAGGGAGGTGTCATTGACAGAGCGGTAGCGGTTCGAAGCAGTCTGGATGGAGGCGGGAAGGCTGATGGTAGCTACAGTTGACGTTTGCGAAGTATGTGTGAGCCGAGACTCTTTGGGAGGAACACGTGACGATTTAGTCTCGAGCTATTGTAGACGGAAAGTGATTGTTAGCACAGGCTACACTTTGGGGGAATGCACAGAGCAAGGCTAGATAAGATTGTGTGATGTGCATTGAGGCCATGTCAGATTGAACATACCAGGCTTAAGAGAGCGGTCTTGCCAGCCCCACTGGGACCAAGGAGTAGGAAATTGCTGGAGGGTGGAGAAGCGACGGTCCGGTAGAAGATCAAGTGCAGCAGAATAGGTAGCCCGAATGCAATGAAAACTGTGACCGCAATGGCAATGGGACTGCCATCAAGCAGACTGGTAGCTATTCCCTCAAGGGTCTTCCAATTCCCGTGAGATTGCATCTTTCACAGATGCTCACCTGAAGTATGGTGGGTGAATTTTATCAATCTATAAACAGGATTGATACGAAGGGTTTTTCAGTTATCCGGGGAGTAGTGAAGAGGGATTGTGTAGGGCATGAACAGGTCGAGCCCAGGTTCCGCAGTATGTATCCAAGAAGCTACCAATCCGCGAGCGCAGAACTTCTTGTCCCTCGTCTTCTCCCAGTCTGGTTAGAGTAACAGTCCTGACGCAGCCAATTAGTAGACCAAGTCTGCGGGCTGTAATCCTGTCCGGAAGCGGGCTGACATCCAAGTTGTTGCTTGTTGGTTGCTGGAGATTGCAGCGGTGACGACGAAACCTCCGGGTGGGCCAGATGGATCATGCCACCTTCGGAGCGGGATTCTGGCCGAGCTTGTGCTTGCCTTGATGCCTGTATATGCCTTACATGTCATGTGCTTGTGTGCCTGGATGCCTTCGTGCCTGGCTTGTGGCCCGTGCGTTGTAGTTCCCGATGAGGAAATACAGGTATATACTTCGGTAGCACAGCAGGCGTCCCAGCATGCCGTTGATTGCAGGGGGTGACGGGAGTGTGTCAACAGACATCTTTGGCCATCTTCTTTCTCCGTCAAATACTACTTAACGCTTGTTTTCGGTAGCATTGAAATTCCAATTTTCCCCCTTCTTCTATCTCTTTCTCTCTTCCCATCTTCCCATGATGAGACTCGCGCGTACAGTATACTTAGTGCTGTCACTTCTCTCAGCTGCTCTTGCGGATATCGAATTCATCGACCCAGCAGCCGGCACAGTCATCAGAGCTGGGGATGAGTTTACTGCTCACTGGAGGGATTCCGGCACATTACCCCGGCTTGCTTCACTCGTACAGTATGACCTCTATCTTTGTGCAGGCGGAGACACAGTGGGATCCCATGTGCGTGCTCTGTCAATATTCTCGCCCCTTAAGCAAACTCTACTAATACCCACGTCTTTGATACAGGAGGACATAGCTCTCCTCGCGAAAAACGCGCTTTTTGCCAAGGGCAACTCAGTTACGTTTAAGATTGATTCCGAGGTTGGCGGCAATGATGCAAACGCATAGTAAGGCTTCTTCCATAGCTCCCATGAAACGCGACAGCAGGTTTCGACCTCAGCTGTAACGTCCCTTTCACTGCTGACAATTGCACCTCGTGCAGCTTCCTTAGGATTGCCGCTTCTGGTCCTGATGCCTCTGTTGTCAACTACTCGGATCGCTTCACCCTCACGAACATGACCGGATCATTCTCCCCGACGGTTATCAATGGAATTCCTTCCGCTATGTACCCTACAGACTCCTTTCCCCCGGCCCATATGGATGAAAGTCACGAAGAATTACGGAAGAGGCAGGTGGCTGGACCCTTTACGATTCCCTATCAGTTGCAGACTGGACCTACAAGATACGCACCCATGGCTAAGAAGCCTGGAAGTACGATTCCGGTGGGAACACCAACCCCCCAATATCCAACGAGCGCGTATTCCGTTGCTACAACATATCTACCTCAGGCTACTGTTCAGATGACACTGTCCGCCTCAGAAACATACTCCGTTATTAGCATTGAGAATACAGTAAGTATAGCGTGGCTGGGTTTTGTCACGATTGATTCTGTTCTTCTCTTCTCAAAGCTTGCGAATCTGGGCTAATGGCACTCCATTTCACAGGCATCTCCAGCACCGCATGCCGGAGACACAAAAATGAAACGGTTTTTGGAAAGATGGAAAGATTGAGGCGTTTGACAATTCTGAGCTGTAAGGTCTAGACGTGCATGGCCTATTGCCTGATCGTTACAAGGCTTCCTCCCTACTTAGCATGCTTTCATGATAGCCTGTATGGGGCGTTCCCGAGCTAGAACGGAGCTCGAGAATATATATTGCACCTAACGCCAGGCATTTCCCAACTATGTTTGTTTGCATCAATGTGATTACTATTATACTGGACAATGCTGGCCTCTTGGAGTTTATCTTAATCAGCAAGCCTACTACAGGTAATAATTTTGATATATGTACTAAATGTGATCTATGTTTCGATTTTTGGACAATGAGTGAAGCTCTAATCTAATCCATGACTAGCCTCTACTTCCTTTGATAAGCACTTGTGATAATATAATTGTCTGTTACTCATCGAACTTTCGTATCCCTCTTCCGCCAATTAGCGGCGGAATAGCTAGTAGTTCAGTGACTGGGGGAGGAAGCAATGCTTGATTTGGGACTCGGGCATCACTGACTTAGAGAACCAATATGTCGAAAGCGCACCTTCAATCTTTAATCCTCCATTTGGAACGCGCCTTGATCGTTCCTTCTCAACATAGCCGAGGGGTTAGAAGCATTTGCGTTTCAATGACGTGGACTGTCGTTACTCTGTGTGAAAGAGATGTTCTCTCGAAGAGCCACATATTCACTATCTGCATAACCGAGTAGTGATTGAATATGTGTGCTTCTCTGGCCCTTGATGCGGACGATTTCACTGCTGCCGTAATTGACTAGGGCACGCCCAACTTCCTTCGGCTCCTGGCCATGGTGTAGGAACTCCCCATTCAGGGCGTCTGGCGAGATCTTCTCAACCACAACCAAGCGCACTGCTTCCTGTTGGCCGAAATGACCTTCCACCCCCACAACGCCTGCCGGGAGCAAGCCAGCCTTTTTCTGGAGAGCACTATAAGCACCATGATCGATATATAGTGTACCTCTTGGTTTCAGGCCATGAAGGAGCCAGAAAGATCGGGACTGAATTGGGGTTTGCGAAGGAATGAATCGAGTGTGTAGTGGGGGCGGTGTGCGCAATTCTAACGAGCTCGTAGAATCTCCAGACTCCAGGCCAAGTTGCTCCGTTTGCTGAAGGTATCTGACAATTTCATGGACATTACCCGGTTTAGAGCTTTTGGTAATGATTGTGGTCACGCCCGCACTGGTCCCCAATTTAGCAGCGACAATCTTGGTACTCATGCCTCCTGTCCCTAAAGAAGATCCGGCAGACGAGACATCGGCCTCCAAAGACGAAATATCCGTGACAACCTCGATAGGCTTCGCATCTGGGTTGTGGCGTGGGTTAGCTGTGTATAGACAGTCGACATCCGTCATTAAGAAGAGGTAATCGGCTTTGACCATAGCTGCTGTTATTGCCGACAGTGTGTCATTGTCACCGAATTTGATTTCCTTGTAAGAGTAAGCTTTTCCCCCCTTTTTCTTTCATATCTTAACTAGCCGAAGCATACCGAGACAGCGAGAGTGTCGTTCTCATTGACTATGGGGATCACACCCATGTCGAATAACTGTGCGAAGGTATTTTGGGCATTGAGATATTGTGTCCTCTATACCGGCATCAGATGTGAGATGCAACTTCAGGAACCAGAATGAATGCTTACATCCGCAATGTCATTTCTGGTCAACAAGATCTGTGCGACCGGGAGACGGAGATGCGAGAAAAGACCGTCCCAAAGACTCATCAGTCTACATTGTCCAACCGCGGCCAAGGCCTGGAGTTCATATATCAGCTTCTGGAGATCAGGCAATCCGTAGTATTATGTGTGTGTGTTATTACCTGTATACGGGGCAAGTGTTTCGGCCTCTCGTCGATATCCATTCTCCGTAAACCAACGCCGACAGCACCGGACGAAACGAGCACAACATTATGTCCGTCGCGATGAAGTTTTGCGGCGGTCTCCACAATTAAGGTTAATATAGACAGTATAGGCTCATGGGTGTTCTCATCCACGATGGAGCTCGTCCCTGTTTGTACCACGAATGAACGTTAGCGTTTCTGTAACAGTAAATGCGCAGGCTTGTAGTAGGATACCCCGCACCTAATTTGATGACGATCGTGAGACGTTTTGAAGCCATTGTAAAGTGAAGTTGGAGTTGATTAGTTAGACGAATATTTCTAACAGTCACCCATCTGACGGCGACACTGGTAAACGGCGGGATCCGACCTCCCTCCCAGACACGACGATGTCAGACAGATTGCGCTAGTCTTTGTAGCATGATCGGGCATGCCCATTTGCCGTGTGTGATTTTCCGGGGAATTTCTATTTTTTGCCAGGTACGCCCTTCACCGCCAATGCGGAGAGCTGAGGGCGGAATCGGCCTGGACGATCTTTCCGCAGCGCTTCTTCCGTATCCAGTTCACTGCGCTGGCTTTCTCATCCTTGAAACTTTGGGCGAAATGTCGACTTCCGAGTCTTCCAATAACGGCTCGCAACCCGGCAATCAGGATACAGGTTACATACCTGGCGACGACACTTGGACGCAATGGCGCAATATCTTCTCCATCCTAGCAGGGCGAATGACTGATGAAGGGAAAGAACAGTTTCGTGTTGCCCGGGACATTCGGAATGAGGTCGCCGATTGTAAACGTTGCGAGGATCAGCGTGATTATCTCTTACAGTTCAGTGAGTCATTTCCCCTTTGCTGTTCGCGGATGCGCAGGGCTTTGTCACTCACTCAGGATCACAGCTAATGCAAGAAATCACAAGGTCCCATAATTCGGTTCATGAGTGACAGTATTCGACAGCTTGGGGGAGACCTCCATAGCCATAATATTTATTGCCGCCGATGTACCAATCGAAAAGCTGGAGGCTTCGACCCTGACTATGGTATCTTAATTTGCGCGAATGAGATGAAGGACCAGGGACATCTGGAGGACACAATGGCTCATGAGATGGTCCACGCCTACGATCACCTGAGATTCAAGGTTGACTGGATGAACAATTTGCGGCACGCAGCTTGTACCGAGGTAATTACTCTCCCGGGATGATGACCACCTGAATTTGAGATACATCGGCTGACACAAAATATAGATTCGAGCCAGCTCCCTTAGTGGGGAATGTCGGTGGGCGCGCGAGTTCTTCCGGAGGGGTCAGTGGAAGTTTACACAACAGCATCAAGAGTGTGTTAGAAGAAGGGCTATCTTGTCTGTACGAGCAAGGCCAGGATGCAAGGATGAAGCCCATGCAGAGAAGGTTGTAAACGAAGTATGGGACAGCTGTTTTAGGGACACCCGCCCCTTCGACGAGATATACCGATGATACTACCATTTTTGAGCGTTGCAGTCCTGCAATAGAGGGCACTCGTGTGTATATATTATTTGATACGCCACCTGCAAAGATATACCAATAAATAATAGACCCAGGGAACCGGACGCCGCAGAAAGCAGATAATCGTAAAACTCCAGCATGCTCAACGCATTCCACACGAAATAAATCGGAAAAAGGCCACTGGTTGGAGTGGCAGGGAAAGACCACACGTCTCAACACCAAAGCGCCATGAATGCATGAGTATTACATTATTGTTTGGCATCCTTTGACGAAGCAGAACCAGAACTGCGCTTCATGGTTCGCTCATCCTTAACACAGTGTTTAAGAATCCAGGGATGCCTCTGGATTTCATCAAGAGAGATTCGCTTCTCAGGATCCAGAACAAGAAGCTAGAAAGCATTAGCAGATACTCCATCAGGGGCGGCTGGGCCTCACATACCCGTTTGATAAGATCTCTCGCCTCAGGGCTCACAAATGAGGGAACCGACATATCCGCTCTTGCAATCCGCCTCTGTGTCATAACAGGGGTGTCCTCAAAGGGAGCTTCTCCAACAAGAAATTCGTAGGTCAAAACACCCAAGCTCCACAGATCGACTTTTTCATTGTAGTAATTATCCTGTGAACCCGGCTTGAGCATCTCGGGAGGAAGGTAGTCCAATGTTCCACACATTGTTTGCCTCCGGTTGTTGGGTGCATGTACACTCCATCCAAAGTCACTGATCTTGATTTCCCCGTGGATGCCGACTAGGATATTCTCGGGTTTGATATCACGATGCATGACATGCTTCTTGTGAAGGTATTTCAAGGCAGCAGCCATTTGGGCGATGTACTGGGCAGCTTTCCATTCAGGGAATCGATGTTCCTTGCGAAGGTGTTTATATAACTCCCCCCGGCCGGCAAATTCGAGAATCAAAAAGATCCGCTTGCTGTCATGGAAGTGTCCGTAGAGCCTTAGAACATTCGGATGACGAAGATTGCTCTGAATCTCGATTTCCCGGCGGACTTGCTTCTGCACTCCACCCTGCTGCAGCTCAGATTTGTGTAGGACTTTGAGCGCACATACAAAACCAGAAGACCGCTCTTTGGCCAGGTACACCCTACCAAACTTCCCTTTTCCCAAAGGCTTTCCAATTTCAAACATTCCAAGGTGCAGCTTCTTTGGTGCCGGTTGATCATATAGCGGGTTAGGGTGTCGTTGCTCTCCATTCTCATCTAGGTTGCGACTCGGTAAGGTGTTCTGGGAGCCCTTTGTAGGGGACTGAGCAACGTTCATGGCATTGACTTTGTTGTCATTGGTATTTTGTAGGGCTAGCTTCAGCAGGTTGGATCGATTGGAGCCGCTATATTGCCCTGCAGCTCCAAGGCCCGAAAGGGACATAGCTGTTGATAGGGAGCTCTGATGTACGGCATTAACAGGCCATGTGCTATACAAGGCATACTCCAGGACTCATACCTTAGGTTTCGGGTAGCTACCGCCATTGTGTCCGCTGTCATTTTCGTCTTTGACGGAAAGGCGCTCAAGGCGCGCTTCCAATGTCTTGGAGGCCATGGAGAAAAATGTAATCGACAGTGATTGGCGACGGAGAAAGCTAAACGAGGTTGCAGGCGATTATCAGGACTATCGTGCCTTACAAAGTCATAGTCAAGCCCTAGAGAGTCTATAGAGAGAATATTGGTCTAGATGATGAACTGGAAGAGAATAATGGAGAACGAGTGAGTAGATAAATAAGGTTGAGGAGAACTGGCAGTCCTCTAGCGACGCTCGGATGTTTATCCGGTTTGGTTTCCATACACATCACCCCAGCAACAGATCGGACCGCCTCTTTCTCCGACACCGCGGGGTATGATCTATCGGCTGGCCATGGGGGACGCCGATGATGCATATCTGTGAATCAAAAGGATTATTCTCTCTTCTCCGACACCTTTCATATTCTCCTATTCCTTCTCCTGCCTGTGTATAATTTATCACCGTCACTTGCCACCCACTCAATATAGCATAGCATGACTTCACGTAGCAACGCGGCGTCAGCAAATATGGCGAGTACCGCAACTTCGCCCAGCTTTCAGAAGCCCAATTCCGTGACGGTCAAAGGATTCAAGATCAGCACTCAGAAGTTACCAATACTCAAGGCGGATCCAATCGAGGAAATGACGAAAGAATTAGGAATAACCCCACCAGAAATGATCTTTGGCGACAATTTCGTTGCGATTGAACATGAACAAAGTTCTTGGGGAATAGCTTTCAACGCGTTTGACGCCTTGGACCGTGTGGACAAAACCGGTACATCGATGCTCAAAGTCGCATACTCGAGAGAGTGGCAGAAGAGCAGGTACTCCACCATCTTTGCTTACCTCACGGGTCACTTGCACATGTTTGTGACTGACTGGTTGTTAGGGAGAAGACTCACGAAGGAATCAAAGAAATTGTTAAACCCTTCGATTGGTCTTACACTACGGACTACATGGGCACAGTGAAACCTGGGAGTCGGCCCTTCGTAGCAACAACGAAGCCTATCCCTATCGAACTGTTGAAGCGGCCGGACCCTATCTTGTTTTATGACGACGTCATCCTTTATGAGGATGAACTTGCTGATAACGGCATTACTATGTTATCATGCAAGATCCGAGTCATGCCATCTAGGCTGCTTCTCCTTACGAGGTTCTTCATGCGACTAGACAACGTTCTGTTCCGGCTTCGGGACACGAGAGTCTACGTTGGCTTCGAGGAAAGGGAGATCATCAGAGAATATCAATCTAGAGAATGTGACTATGAAGCAGTAAGACGGGTAAGCTTGTCGCATACCTTGATTTCGGGTACTAGATCTGAGTGGCCAAAGTGCTAACTAGTTTTCAGACCTTAGCAACGACCAGAGACGATGTGCCAGCGGTCATGAGAGACCCTAATAGGCTTTCGGAAATTCTTCCGCTCGTCGAAAAGCGCTTAGAGAGGGTGTCTCTCAATGAATGAAGCACCAATACGATGGATACTCACTACCGCAGTCTACCCCCATCTACCACAAAATGAGGCCCATTCACAGTCGCGGCTCCAGCTGGTTGTAAGAAGTGCAACCGATATAGGAATGGCCGCTCTATCTCGCCACATAGATAGGCATAGTCTACTGCCTTCAGTGCTTGGAGTCGCTCCAGTGCTACTTAGGTCAACTCATGCCCGCAGTATTCCGGATAAATGAAGAGCGCGGTCGAGGCAACGCCACGCCCGGTGGCCTGGCTGCGATTATCTTTACTCAGTGAGGCAAGGTCATTAGAGGATGGTATTCATTAAAGCCCTGAGGAATCACGTTCAAATGATATGTGACGATACTATCATGGTAGTCCTCACATACCATAGCTTAGTTTACGAAGGGGTGTCATAGTAATGGGGTAGGTAATATAGGCAGAATGATTTTTTACTATCCCTCTGGAGCCTCTCAGTGGTCCTGCTCATTGTTGTTAATATCATTTCTACTTAATCTTTCTAGGGGCTTATGCTTGTCACAGTCCACTTAATATGGTAAGGTTAAGTCGTGACGTACCTGGTAGATGAACCGCGGATCGCTTGGCGGCAAACAATGCAAACATGGTTGGTCCCGCAGGCTTCTAGATTTATCCTGAGTATGGAGTAGTCTCAAGTTTTCGAATTGTACTCAAGGCCCCCATCTACAATCTCATGCAACAAGGTTTCATTCGGTCCAAGCGAGCATAAACACCGACCAGAAGCAATCAGGTGGTGGTGATATACAGACATCCAGCAATGCCCTCCGCAGGCTCGAAGACTCTGTCCCTTCGGGGGCTCTACAATTTTCAATGCCCGCGGCCCCAGGTACGGCCTCATCTGGCAGAGAAAACAAATGGATAACGTTCCGTCTGACAAGGCAATCATATTAGGTACAAACGTATAACAAGACACACCTTCCATCAATTCACGGCTTGAAGCCCTCGGTGTCTCACCGCCACATTAGCCATCAGCAACAGCCGCTAGCCTCATGCTTCGTTCTTCCTTCGCAAAGTCGCCGGAATTCTTCCCAGCTAGCTCGTGCGATCGGGCCGCGCCCGGGTACTGCAGCAGAAACCTACGTTGCTTACGGAATGACGCAAAAACTATTCGAAGCCTGCTCCAAACAAGCAGACTACAAGATACCTCAGTTGTCTCAGAAGGGGGCTCAGGTGCCCAAGACAAGTGCCGGGGAAGACTTGGGAGTAGGTGAAGGATGGTGGTATGAAGGTGAGTTTACTCTAAGTGTCTTCATTTCGTAGATGGAGGCGCGTGGTACCTAGGGGTGCGCGGCTAAAGAGCTCAATTAAATAGAATTGGGCCTCGTTCCTACTTTCTCAACATGGTCGCAGGTTACGTTCCTGCACATGTACCTATTGACGGTCCGGTTGCGCGCGTTGCCGTCGCATGACAGCCTTCAAACCTACTCACGGCACTTAATCGACCACTTCTCACATAGTGCCGAACATCGCATGGATGTGCTTCACGGATTGACGAGCCGCGGTATACGCAATAAGTTTCTCAAGGATCTTTTTATCCAGTGGCGCGGTGTTTTGGCAGCCTACGACGAAGGTCTAATCAAAGGAGATGCAGTGCTGGGAGCTGCCGTTTGGAGAAACCTCTGGAAGGCGAGCCATACTGCACCAGACGGTAAGGACTTGGATTGGTCGAAGATAGCTCAGGTCGTCGCGTATATGCGGCGAGTGCTCTCCGAACTCTCTCAGGTGCATGAAGCGGATTTGGTCTTCCAATTGGACCGGCAAAGGAACGGGAAGCCGGGTATTTTCTCTTATTCCGATGTCGATCAAAAGATGGTCGATAGCAAGCGGTGACAATGTGGGTTTGGAACTAGCCATCGGCGCTCTTTTGTTCGCTCTTTGTACGAATAACCATCATGTCTACCTTTTATAATGTAACATATTGGGCTTGACCTTGCATCACTTAAGTCTTTGTGTGGGAATACTTGCATACTTTGCTATCACTGCCATGGCTAATGAGCGTAGTTGATGTTGTCGGAAAATCATTTTAGATATGAAATGGCAGGTCATTTTTATCAACGGCCTTACCCATTATGTGAATCAGTCAAGAAGCTCATGAGTTTTGTCGATTTTGCTATACGTCCCTCTTCCCAAAAAGGTCCTTCTCAACCATTGCTCGACATATCGGATGGTAGAAGTCCTTGTACTTCTCAAAAGTTGCGACTGCAACCTCACGGTTGACTCTCTGCAAGCTCCGGAACCTGATTGCTTGGTCAGCGCCATAAATTGTCTTTTCGGTTGCAAGATAGCTTACAGTGGCCTCACAAACTTCATTCTACCAATTCTGCCCAGTAGTTCGGTCGCCGGGTCGACAACATTCTCATCACCAGCTTTCAGGCCCAGTTGGAAATACAGGTTGGCGACCTCTATGTTCTCGCTCTTGGAAAGTCCATAAACTTCGCCCATGAGCTTCGACAGTTCGGGAGTAAGTGGCCGCTCAAGAAGAAGCATCTGTTCCAAGAAAACGACGATCTGATTTGCAGACAAGCTCTCGATATCGCTTAGCTGCGGCTTGAAGGAGGAAGTTTCAGAAAGTGACTTCCATTTTTGGGCAAGTTCGTAAACAACGTCAACAAGTGATGTATCGAACTGAGGCTTCGGAGGTAACCCAGGGGCATAGAACCATGTATCCCAGTCGAGATCATTTAACAGCTTAGACGCTTCCGCGTCAGTGCCAAAGAAATCCAGGAGAGTCGCTTTGAATTCGTAGGAGTCTAGTGACTTTCCCTTGAACACAGTAAAGTACTGATGGAACGAATTTGAGTCAGTAGATACGGTTTGCTTGTGAGCCTAGGTAACTCACGTGAGGGATAAAACGGTCAAACTTCTGTTTTCCTACAAGTGTTTCCAGGTGGAACAAGAAGTTGAATCCTTTCTCGTAAGGGATACTAGAAAACGCATCATCCGGGTCCTTGCCCTTGAGGTCCGTAATCAATTTAGTGAACTCGTGGTCATGCCCAAAATGCTCCACGGAATCAGTGAGTGCTTTCCAACCTATAATGGCGGAGAAATGCCGATATGCTTCCCCATGTCTAGTTCCGATTAGTAACTGGTTGCAGCGACAAGACAAGATGCTACACTCACACGGCAGCTAGGATCTAGAGCGTTGTCAGCGAAAAAGGATTATGCTGCCTCAGCCGAGGGGAGGGGGCCCAGGAAAAACAAGCTTACCCGCCTCTCTAAATAGGTGGTCCAGCCTTCATTCAGCCAGAAATGTTCCCATGATGCATTGGTCACGAGGTTGCCGCTCCAGCTGTGCGCGAGTTCGTGGGCAATGACATCAATATTTTCTCGGTCCTAATCCGTCAAGTTAAGTATTAAGCAACAACTTATTGCACAAGATAGCTTCTGATTCGCACCTTAGAAATAATACTGGGAGTGGCGAACGTGAAGATGGGATTTTCCATTCCTCCGTAAGGGAAGCTTGGTGGGAGAATCAGAACATTATACTCGCCCCAGGCGTAAGGGTATACAATTTTCTGCCTTGGTCAGAGACGTTCCATTGCACTGAGCGGCTCACAAACCTCAATTGCGCCGATAAACTTCTCCGTATCTGCTTCGAGCTCCCACTGGCATTCCTGGACCTTGTCCGGGCTGGTGGCCACAACACTGCGGGGTCCGATTGCAGCTTCTGAAATGTCACTGTCATTCGTGAGCCAAATGGAGTTGATTGGGATTCACGGATAGACGACAGGCTTACCCGCTGGCTAGAGCGAAGAGATAGCTCGGGATTGGGACGCGTTGATGAAACTGGTACAAAGATTTGCCCTCCGATTTCGACGCACCCAGAGCATCCCGGACAGGCAAGCCACTAGCAATCACAGGAAGGGGGGACGAGATGTTGAAATCGATGGTACTCTTAACATCAGGCGTATCCTGGCAAGGAAATATGGATCGTGCATGGATCGCCTGGCACTGAGAGACTAGATATGACTCTTGTGAGCAGCTCCAAATTGATTGATTTTAAACCTGGTCTGAGAGAGTTCTCACAGAAACTGGGCGGGAGAAAGATTGTACTCGCTTACACATGTATGGATGCTTCTTGTTGGACGTTTGGGCCGGGGTCAGCCATTGGAGTGCGGTACACTTTTCAGTGGTCTGAACGGAGATCTAAATGTCTGCGGTGTTAGGCCAGAAAACGAGGAAAGTGTCTGGTATTTCGATTTTATATGTACCTCAACGTCAATGGTTTCGTTCAAATTTACTCCCTGATCGAGCTTGATCTTCAAGGCAGAGCCATAAGGTTCCAACGGAGGGAGAAGCTCCCACTCAGAAGGCCTGCCGTCAATTTTGACGTCTCCGATTGCCACATGGTTAGAGTCCAAGATGATCTCCTGCGATTCGCCGTTGGTAGTTGACTTGAGCTTGTGAATGACGTTTCCCACGAGCTTTTTCTGGTCAAAAAGGATGTCGAAGTTGGCAGTGATGTGGGTGCATATCCAGTTGTTATAGTTGCTAAGGGTATTGGGATCCCTGGGGGGGTGGATGCTAATCGCCATGCTACGTCTGTGAATCTGGGGTAGTCGAAGGGACCACCGGACTTGAATCGAAGAGTTGACGTTGGCCTTCAGACCGGTAAAGCAGGGAACTCGTGGGGAGCTAATCCGCCAGAACAAAGTGAAAGGAATAGGTTGCATGTGCCCCTCTTTATATTACCGTCCGGATGACTGGATGGATAAGAGAAAGTAAAAATTCTTCATTATCCCTTTCTTTTATTTTTACACTATTATTAAATTATTCAAATTGAAGTGGGATTTTTAGCTTACCTAGACTAGGGAGAACCATCCTATCAATTCGAATTCTGCGGGCGGAAGACTCGGGTCTCTTCCCAAGTTCGTCTCTCTTAATTTCTGTTACATTCACGTTCCAAGACATCCCTGCCCCGCACCTGATGATACCTCCTCTTCCTCCACCTTTCTTTTCTAGTAACCATCTCTCTCATCTCGGCCTGTACACATACTAGATGGTGGGTGTATCTTACTTACTACTCTTGTTTTCCGTACCCTTGACGGTTGATTTTCCCTTTTGTGTGTGTGTGTGTGTGTGACGCTACTGATGCAGAATGTATTTGCTCCTTTGCTGCTTTTCGTTGTACCCAGGGTATAGCTGATCTTGATCTCAGTGCTAGAATGTGTTTACAGATACATATATGTCCACATATATATACAATTACATCGCATCATGTACTGACGATGATAGACCTTCCTGTCTTGTCAATTGAAGGCGTTCTTGACGACCAAGTCTTCCACATGTTCAAGAATCTAACTAGTTATTTCGGCAACTGAAAAGGCTACTGCTAACCATTGCAAGGTACTACTATTTAGCCGTAGTTAAGTGCTTCTACAAGTGTGACTAAACAATACTGTATGGCACCATCATGTCACTGCTTTGCTTGAAAATGAGATCACTTTGCACTACCATCCAATGGATAGAACTGTGCAGTGCCAATCAATATTCTGAGGCGAATGGAGAGTTTTGCGGCCTTTCAAGCGTGGATTTAGTCGCTGCTAGCTGCCTGATTCTACGAGTACCTACCATGCAGGTACGGAGCAGACACGGAGTCCATACGGAGAAGAACTTCCAAGTGGAACCCAAATCCGCCAACTCGCTCAATTGCACGCTAAATAGATTGTGGGCCTTTGAGCCATGGCGTAGACTACTATCTAGTATCTACTATCTACAGCATGATGGCAGACTAATTTCGTACGACCGTTTTTGCGAGGAAAATGATGTCTCAGGGCTGAATCGCTGGAGAATTAGCTAGGTCGTGTTTATCTACTGTATCTGTATGTTTACCACGAGTCCCTTTCTTTCAGGCCTAGCTTAACTTGCTTTTTGGGCCTTACCATATCCGAACTACTAGTACCAAACGTACCAAACTAGTAAGGCTACCTACTTAGTAGTGATGGGAGTAAGATTGACATTGTTGTGGTTCCTTTCATAGTCCTGAACCCAGTATTGCAACCGCTCGTTCACGTCTATCCATCTTGTTGAGGCATTTGTGTCTCTGCTGCTTAGCGGCAGGTATCTAGTCCTCTCATATACCTACCCCTTCCTTCTTTGTCAAACCACGGTAGCTGGAACTTCATATCCCAACGCGCATCCTTGCCCGATTCCTTAGCTCGCATACGAAATTATGGACGCGCCTCAGGTTCACGTGGATGCGCCGGAGAGCTCTGCGAACGTTGGAAAAGAAGGCGAAAGCACGCACCCTCTAAAAATTACGAGCGACCGTGATGTGGACGCAGTGAACGAAGGCCAAGCAGACCCCACTGAAGACATCGATCTGCCAGACGCTGGCGCAGCTGAGCCAGAAACGGCACCAGCACCGCCCAAGAAAAATCCTGGCTTTCAATTTCTAGAGTAAGGGCCCGTCTCCTTTTTCCAGCACAACTTTCTGTTTTCCACGCCTTCTTTCCCTGCTTCTGTACATGACTCTGTAACTTACAGTCTTCCAGCTTTCTAAAGTCACCTATCGTTGAACTGATTGTCGGAACCGGAGAGGGCAAAACTAGCTTGTCAGCACATCAAAGTCTGCTTTTAGAGTCGCCTGTCCTTGCAGAAAAGGTCAAGGCTTTGGGTGAATCGAGCTCTGTAAGTGATTGATGCATTTTACTCTCTTGCATGACCGCGCTCTGATACCTGATAGCGTTGCATTGAGCTTCCCGAGGAGAATGTGGAAGCCTTTGGTTATTTCCTCCAATTCCAGTATACCCGCGATTATTCCGCCTCCCAGCTTGAATCCCATACCGAACAAGAAGCAGTATCCGGTGGAATAGATGATAGTGGGGAACAATTGTTGAAGCATGCGCGAGTATACACCTTAGCCGACAAATTGGGGATCCCCGCGCTCAAGACACTAGCACACTCGAAGATCCATCGTATAAACAGCACCTCGCATGGCGAGATTGCATATGCTCGCTATGTCTACATGAATACTCCGGTCGACGATGTTACTATCCGAAAGCCAGTGGCTACGTTCTGGGCCCTGAGGAGCCACATCCTGCGCCACGAAGCTGAAGACGAATTCCGAAAACTCTGTCTTGAGGTTCCCCAATTCAGCTTCGATGTTCTTAGTCTTGTCCTCGATCAGAAGGAGAAGCGTGCTCAGGACAAGGCAGAGTCAGAGTCAGCTGTGAAAGGAAGCGGACGGAAACGACTTCGGAGTGGGTTATAGCAAATGAAATGGTTTGAAGATATGATTGAATCGTACACCGGATAATTGGGAACACGAATGCCGCAACCCTTTGCTTGGTTGCAGGCAGAAAGCCAGAAGGTACATCGTCCTGTACGACATGAGAACTCGCCTAATGACCCGCAATTTGTCGCCAACGAGCCCCTAGGATTGCCTGCTCCAGCTATACTGCATTTGGTCCCAGGGCTCAGTACGAGGATTCTTCCCTTTTACCGATCCCGAGTATCTTTACTCGTGCCTAACCAAAATGGCTGGTCCATACAGCTGTTCTAGGGCATGTTTACGCAAACTTTCCGAGTAAAGCTTTGCGACCATCGCAGTCACTCCCTACCATCCCTGGCCGACTGCTGCTTACCTATCAACATATGATGTATGCCTACCAGAATTAGTACGTAGCGGGATTCAAATGCTACAGGGCTCTCTAAATCGGATGCTTTATCTAAGGAGCTATGAGGAAGCAAACCGGCCATGAATTCTGGATACATCAAATGATCACTAAGTGGCTAGAACTTCCACTTCTTCTATAGCCTTTGGCGCTGTGGTCAGATTCTCGTAACCTTGCTGAGTAACGTGGACATTATCTTCAATGCGTACTCCCCCAACATTCCAATACTTCTCAAGGACGTTGGTATCAATATATTTGCTGGTCTCAGGGGAGGTCAGGTACGGTTCGATGATGAACCGGCAAAAGTAGATCTAAAGGATTATTTAGCGAGTTAGCAATCAAAAAGGGTGAGGAAATCTTACACCTGGTTCAACGGTGATAACTGATCCTGCGGGTAAACGGCCCCTCACGCGTAGATACTTGAACATGGTGTCTTTATCTGCATAGTTGGGGTTGCCACCAGTATCGTGGGTGTCCATGCCCAGATAGTGGCCTAGACCATGAGGGAAGAAGGCGACGCTAATCCTCTTCTCGAACAATTCGTCTTCAGAGCCACGCAGAATTCCCAATTTGAGCAAGCCCTTGATCGCAATGCGATGGGCATGCGCATGGACATCTTCCCACTGCACATTTTCTTTCAACATTGCGATAGCCTCCAACTGCATCTGTAGCACAATTTTGTAAATTTCCTGTGTTTCACTGGTAAATCTTCCACCCAAAGGAAAAACACGCGTGATATCAGCACAGTATGTTCTGTACTCCGCCCCAGCATCGATAAGGACACTTGACTTCCCCGCCTTGGTGACTGGATCAACTAAGTCGTCATCATTCCTTCCATAGTGGAGAGTGGCTCCGTTCTGGCCGCAGGCAACGATGGGGTGGTAAGCTTGATCACGGGCACCATTGGCGATACAGGTTGCGAGGAAAGCAGCCTCAATCTCACGCTCATTGGTGGCGGTCTTAGATGCTTCAATGGCAGCTATATGCGCCTTGGCGGAAATGTCATTTGCCTTTCTCAAGAGCGCGATCTCATATTCGTCCTTGACTACACGCGTGCTGTCGATGGCTCCCTTCAATACGGAAGTATTGGTTTCGAGAAACCCGTCGAATTTGATTCCTTCTGTAATCTGGCCCTCGATCGCAAAGGCAACAGATTTACCATTCCCATCCGAGGCAATAGAGGCCAACGTGGCATTTACATCGGTAGTGTGTAGCACTTGGTCAACATCGTAGAGTCTCAGTGCCTCTGCAACAGACATGGGAAGACCTGACCAAATCACATCCTCTGGATCAATTGGTGGGATAAACAGGGTCAATTTATCAGACGCAATGTTATAAATCAGAGACGAATCTGGCAGCGGGCACCCTGACAAATAAAAAAAGGGTCGGCGTTGTCTAAGCCATGAAGCTTGATTAGCTTTGCAAGCCTTGAGTGATTGAGCGGCAACGGTAGAGCATATGGAACAGAGCTAATATGAGCTGTCGTACCTGAAGTGCATCGCCTCATCATTATCCTCGATCAGTCGAGTTTTCTGTGCTTCAAGGTAAATAATCCCATTCCGGCCAGAGCCGCCCACTTGAAGACGCTCGGCAACCCGGCGGGCATGGGCTTTGGCAGGGTATCGGCCTGCCAGAATGGAATCCAAGGTAGTCATGATTGGGGTTTCCAAGTGGATGTTAGGAAGCGGTCTTGAATCAAATGACTGTTAGGAGGAAAACCATGGGCGTCGAAGAATTTGAATCCGGCGGGGTTAATTTGCGGGGTTTATTTTGGCGGACTCTGTTGCCGGTTATCATCGCAACAGCGCGGCTATCACCTTACTCAGACAAATCTGACCATTCGCTTAGATAACTAGTTGATCCATAACTAATCGTATTTAGCCGCGTGAGCAACAATCATACAGCTGTCTGCTATCTGAAGGCTTCACTGCCTTGGCTGTCAGGTGCCACGTCTTCGAAATCTAACTCCCACTTATCAACATCCGCAAATTTCATCGCTTGCAACCTCAATTCATCGCTAAGGAAATGACTGCCCAGGGTAAACTGTGCAGTGGACTCGGACTCGGACTCGGACGCCTCTGAGTCCGGGGGGGATGACAAAAGGGATGATAAAGGCGATGTATCAGCCAGCTCATTCTCTTTATTAGGTCCCATTGTTCTCAAGGTTCCCAATCCGTGTGTCACTTTTTTAACTCCAGGTTTTCTTGCCGTGGCATTCGGCTGAGCCGCAGGGTTCCGGCCGCCTGTTATCTGGCCTTCGACACTATTTGCCATTGGCTGCGGCCCCTGTGCAGTTCTGGTACTTTTCGCGGATTTCTGTTCCACCAAGTGCTTTCTTTGTGCCCGGGATGACCTCTTGGGCGGTAGGTAGTACAATTCGTCATCGTCGTCATCCTGCGCAGTGGCGTAATGATCGCAATCACTTGGATCTTCTGGGATCTCAGAACCGTCCATACCAAAGCGTTTACGTTGTGAGCGGTTCCTCCGAGGTAGAAGCCTGTCTTGAAGGGCTGACGTCGGTAAGACCAGCTTCTTACTGGTTGCCGGCTCAGCTGACTTGTCTATATGCTTCTGCTGCGCCACTCCAGATGGTGACATCGTATGTGTCGGGCTGATTGGCGGGCTGCTCATGGGAGGGGCCAGCGTTTGGCTGAATGCGCCAGGGGAGTTCTGGTTTTGAGTATGGCCAACAGACACATCAAACCCGCTTTGTCGCCAGTGTGATGTAGGCGATGTGGCAGGCGAATGTTCGGTATCTTCCGAGTCTGATTGAGAAGCATATGGTGCCTCGCCAGATAGTTTACGCTTGCGCGACCCATCACTGGACGAAGTTGGATGTCTAGGCGATGGTGACGCAGTTTGTCCGATTAGGAGTGGCCTACCCCTTGGGAGATTCAAAGGGGTGGACTCATCTTCCGGGCTCAAACTACCGAGGAAAACATCATCATCAATGTCAGAGGAACCGTCCTCTGCTTGCATCATCTGCAAGATGCTTGGTTGCCGGGGCCTCCTTCTAAAATTACTTAATATCGAGCTTTCGAATGCGGGAGTCCCTGGGACTTTGGAGTTTGTATCGCCCTTTCTCCCGACAACGGAGAGGGTTGATGAGTACCCTCGAGCTCTCGTAGCCGGGCGACTGCCTGTGTTCTCACGCCCCCCAATGGGCGAAGACTCAATGGCATGTTCTTGTGCTCTCGTTAAAGGCGTCTGATTCCGCAATTGCCGCCTGATCTCCGAGACTTGGCCACTTTGGGCCACCTCAGGAAATTCCATGACGACCTGGTTTGCGTCTTCTGTGGGCTTGGTGTTTGCCTTCGAGGATATACCATGCCGTCCAGAGATCTGTTGACTTTCATTTTCGACGGCTGGCGGAACCTTGGATGTCAAGCGATTGCGTTTTGTGGGCGGCCTCGGCATTTTGCGATTTGTGTCTAGAACTGTAGAGACTTGTGAGTGATAAGGTCGAGGTGAAGGAAAAGGCGGGCCTGTATTTGGTGCCGTGCCCTGCTCAACCACACGGAGGATCTGTGTATAGCACGGGGCTTTGCGTAGGTAGATAACGCCTACAGGGTGTCTTCTGTGGCTTCGGAACAAGTATAACTTGTGTTAACACTGTGTAAACAATGATATATGTGCGACAAGGCCGATGATGGCACTGTGTTGTATCTAACGAGCAGGGAAGGTTGATTAGTGGTTTGCAATCAATAGCAATCTCCATGGAGGCTTTTGCGCGTCCCGTTGTTTTGGCGGGAAACCTGGCGCGCCGAGAACCACGCGTGCGTGGGGTGTGGATCCACACGTATACTTTTTGTACGATGTACAAAAGTAACTAGCAACTTCTAACACAATCAAGCTGCCCCATTGATTGTAATTTCTATGTTTGAGCTTTTCCTTCACTGTTCGCATTCACAGGATCAGTACAGAAACGGCAGGCTATATTTCATTAAGGATCCAGCAACTATACTCACGCGGCTTTCAAACATATCACGTCTTATTCTACTTACAAGGTAATTGACTCTGATGATTGGTTGATTGAATAGTTAATTATTGAACAACAATCTGACTGATGGTCACCCAATCTCGGCTTCCGAGAGATCTTATCCATCACCGTACGGAGTACATGAAGGTTGGACAAAATGATCCTAATCCATTTGTGGAGAGAGGGGGTGCATGAAAACCCACTCACTGGTCTAACCAATGCCGATAAGCGAGCCCAGGAGCTATGACAGCATGCTAGGGTCAGTACCCATAGACAGTAATAAGATGATGCCGGTTGTTTCACTGTGACTAGTACTTACTAATACTTCTGACTACTGTGGACTGTCAATGGCGAGTTGTTTACCGTAGCCGTGGGCATACGTCATGGTCCTGCCTGGATCGACATCCACAACTACGTAAAAGTTCATCTTGGGATATCATGATTAATACAGGTAAAATCAAAATCAAGATAACCTACTAGTATCGACGTCATCTTACGCCCTACACAGAGGGGTTGAGGAATACTTAAACAGTCATGCCTCACGACCATGCCGGTGGACAATATCCACAAGACAATCAATCATTTTCATTAGAGTATATGCCTCATTCACCTCCTGCCTCAGCCCTGACGCAAAGCCTGATAGAATAAGACACCAACGTGCATTTGATTTGACTGTCGAAAATGGCCAACATCATGGACCCCATCGATGATCCGTCTTATAACGTCGAAGCAACGGAACATGCCTTTGGTACAAGCGCGTCAGACCTTCGTCGCGACGTCAGTACCTACAACAATGATGCGAACGACACCGGTAGTGGCTCGTATGGGTACTCCGAAAATCGCCACCCAAGCAGTATCACTGACTCCATTGATCGGAGGGCTGTCGGCGATCGGTATGACCGTACTGCCGGCATCTCATCTAATACTGGTTCCTACGCCCAAGGTGCTATAAGCCCGAGCCAGAAACAGTATCTACAAAACACAAGTGAACAACCCACGCAGCACGAGTCACCACTTCACCAGTCTCAATACAACGCCCCGGGTTCAGCCGAGTTATCATATGGCACCAATGTTCTAAGGCCGACAGTTGCCGGATTCCAGTCGAGCAATGTTGAGAGCTCTGGTCCGCACATGGACAACAACTTTGATAACATCAACTCCTACAACTCAAAAGAACTGTGCGGTCAGGGCTCTCAGAATATCTCACCTCGCCATCAGTCCCAGCAGACTATACCTGCTGCTACCGAGTCATCGCATGGTTCTAGAGCTCCATCATCGACGGCCACTGAGTTCGAGCCGAGGAACACTGAGGACAACAAGGAGCCGCTTATCAAGAGTAGCTATGGAAGCAGCAACGCCCATGGGACAGGAGATCAATATCCTCAACATGACTCGTTTCTGCGCCAGTCTCAGACTAGCATGTCAGGCCCTGCTGAGTCGAGACATGGCACTGAAGTTCCAGCGTCAATGGCCACCGCATCACAGACGAGCAATTCTAGGAACACGACTGGACCGCGCGTGAATAGCGGTCGTGACACCAATGCTGATGCCAGTACCACTGATATCAACAAAAAGAAAGGCGAGAGGTTTGAAGGGAATCAAGATGACGACATTACTGGGGAGAAAGTCAACGGTATTGCAGGCGTGATCCCTATCTCTGGCAGTGCTGGTCCAACTACTACTAAAACTTTCGACCCTCATGCTGAGCTCAGCGAAACCAGTAAGAACGTCTCTGCAACAGCGTCTACAGGTAATGACGGCGAAGACCGAAAGGCGCCGGCTCGCCAACATAATCCAGCCAGCAGCAGCTACAACACAACGAGAAGCAGCGATGAACAGTCAACCGCCAACTCAGAGAGGGGCAGCGGATTGGGGAAGAAAAGCCACTCGGGCACAGGCGTAGGTGAAGTCCGGTCTGCTGAATCTCGGAGTGCGGTTTAAGCCTGCTACGATGTGACTTACCGGTTGTATATTAAATCAATAGGCAGGCGGGAAGACGTGAATGTAAGAAAGCTTCACATATTGTTTCCCGTGACTAGTTATCGGACAGCCATAGCAAAGCACTTTAGCCAGGTTCCATGCCTCGGTCCACCAATAAATAGTATTTGCCTTTATTGTTACCTGTTAGTAGCATTGACGGGCGGCAAGTAAGCTCCGTGCCGAAGTAGGTAAAGCACCTAGCTAGTAGCATTGCTGGGTTCCTCTTTAAGGGCAAAGATTATTGTCTTATTTCCCCTCATATGGGCGCCAATTAAAACTGCTAGTGGCCGCGTGGGCGACAGTCTTTGTGCACCCTTGAACACAACAACGCCCCTTTGGCCTTATCATTGGCTTCATGTTGTCAAAGCCATACACTGTCCGGGATCTGCGTTTCGCATGCACCGAGGGCTGAAAGCATCATGTCTTGTCAGGAACTTGACAGTGATACTATTCTCGATTCAACCTCAGCAAAAAAGCGCAACAATTCTGAAGCAACCGAGTATCCCCGAAGGCGCGCAACTATAGCGGTATGTTGGATCTCTTCCCCTCTACAACCCTCACCAAGTACCACCCGGTGCCGTCACATTTCCTATCCCCTGGTACTAGCTCTGCTACGAAAACAAGTAATACTAATGTGCGTGCGCTGCTACAGTGCCAGATCTGTCGTCTACGGAAAACGAGATGTAACGGAGCCCGCCCAAGATGCCAGCTCTGCGTAGACCTGGATGCAGATTGTGTCTATCGTGAGCCGGGCATCAAACTAGATGCCGGTGACAAACTGATTATCGAAAAGCTGAACAGAATAGAAGTCTTACTTCAGTCGAAGTTTGCAGACCCCATCGGCCAGTCTCCCCTGTCATCGAATTCTTCCACGGCTGCCAACCTTGTCCAAATTAGTAGCGATGATGCTGTCAGTCTCGCCAACATACCTACCAGGACAATCGCGGTGGGTCTTGGATCATGGGCAAATCCACCGACAAGCATCTCAACTATGCCCAGAGTACATACGACACCGGCTTTGCACCTTCTACAATGGCCTCTCATTCGAGAACTGGTCGCTGTTCCTTATGATCCTCATACACTTCTACAGCTAGAAATGGCTCGTGAGCCACTTCGGCTCGAACCTCCTGTGAGCTTAGATTTATCAAACGCACTTACTCACGCTCGACTTTTTTTCGAGCGCGTAAATGTTTGGTACGCTTGTGTCAACCCATTGACGTGGCCTCGCTATTACAAGATGGCTCTTTCTCGGGACTTCGAGAGAGGGCCTGAAAGCTGCGTTGTACTCTTGGTTTTGGCACTGGGCAGTGCCAGTCAATATGGAAGTATATCTTGCCTTTCCGCAGATGAGGAACTTCCAGGACTATCATATTTCTCCGCAGCTTGGACCCTTTTGCCGGCTGTTATGACGCGCAATTCGGTGCTTGCAGCGCAATGTGTCATCTTGGCATCTGCATATTTATTTTACATGGTCAGGCCCCTTGAGGCCTGGACGCTACTATCAAATGCCAGCATGAAATTACAATTACTCTTAGGTAACCCCTCTCGTGTTCCGGGGCAATGGAAGGAGCTGAGTACAAGAGTGTACTGGAACACCTTACTATTTGAAAGTGATTTGCTTGCCGAATTAGACCTACCACACTCGGGGATTGTGCATTTTGAAGAGCTCGTCGATCTCCCTGGGGGCTTTGAACCGGAAGATGAAGAAGATGAAGAAGACGAAGGAAGCATACGAATTGAAGAGAAACTAGTAGATGCGATGATAGGTCAGGATGAGCTCTGGTATTTCTTGGCTGAAATTGCCCTAAGAAGGCTGCTCAACAGAGTCAGTCATATGATCTACCAAAAAGACAGCATCTTGACACTCGCATCTCTCGGTCCTATCGCCTCAGAGCTAGATTTCCAGCTGTCTCAATGGTATGAAAGCCTTCCTCAGCCTGTCCGGTTTCCTCTATCTGGGGGCCCAACTTTAAGCCCCATTCAAACAGTTTTAAGGCTTCGCTACTTTGCCTGCCGTACAATAATATATCGGCCTTACATCCTGGCGGTCTTCCAGAATGAGTATGCATGCAGTGACCCGACAGTAAAAGACTGCTGCCTGCGGTGCTTGGACGCGACATTGAATCAACTCGAGCATATAGACAGACATCGTGAAGGTCACCTGCCGTACCTCTGGCAAGGTGCCCTTTCCATGGTCTCTCAGGCGTTGTTAATCATGGGGGCAACCATGTCACCGACTCTCTCATCGCTGTTGCCTCCAGCGACTCAGCTAGACGGTATCATATCTGGCGTCATAACGGAGGTTGGCAGATATGCGCGGCTTGCACCAAGTCTAAAGTTATCTGCCGAGATCATTCGTGATGCGGAAAAGAGACGCCAGGTGTCCCTCGCGTCAGCGGCCAGACGAGGTTGAAAGAGGCACTTGACTTGCAGATTCCCAAGCTTGCATATATCTGCTCCGTATAAAGGCGTCAGGTCCTTATACATCATACGCATCTTGTCAGTCCACGGGGAACAGTGGACATCGCAGCAGTCAAGGAGGCAATCGATATGGAACACCGGGTATGCACATGGTGTACATATCTCTCCGAGATAGCTGCAGAATTGCAACTCCAGCAGTATATTTATCGCAAGATATCACAGCTGAAAGAGCTTAGATAGAAAGGCAAGAAATTATGTGATCTTGCAGGTACTTGTACAAGTAAATCACATCTCTAGGTTCTATCAAGACGCATAATATAAATATATATGAATGAATAAAGGATGATTATGATGACGATGCTAATGATGATGATGATGATGATGATAATTAGAGTAATGAAATACAGATAGAAACAGAGATAAAATAGTAATAGAGATGAAAACGGGGAAGAGGAAGTTTCAAGTATGGTACATGTAAATCAAAGCCCCGCCATCAGATCAGTACCCACTCACTACCTCTTTTTATGAATTTATCAAGCATCATACCAATATCATTCAGGGCAAACCGACAAACGTAGAGTCCGAAGAACTCTGCAGCATGGCGAGTGCTTAACTCTAGGCCGACTAATGTAGGCGAAGAATGCCTAAGGCCAGGATCTTCGACTTGTTGAGCGATTTGATCTAAGCAAGCCTGGTTAATACTGCCGAGACGATATAGGAGGGTCACTTACCCAACACCTGAGCTGCATCGCAGAGCCGTGCCAAGGCACCCATGTAGTTATTAGATCCATTGTATTGTAATTGAGATACTCTACGCCTCAAAGGCTGTGAAGTGGGCAGAGACGTCATTGGAATGGTGTTGACTGTCGCATTGTCCTTATTGGTGTCCTTCGATGCAGGTAGCGAGGCCGTCGCACTGACCCCGGAGTTCTTCGACCGTAATTTACGCCAGGAGGTCAAATATGATTTGCTCGGTACATTCGATGGTTTTGAGGGCGGTGCATCGACGGTTGCTGAGTCTTCGAGAACTTGAGCCGACTTGAAGAGTGGCATGGCGCCCTGCACTCCTACCTCGCTCCCTATCTTCTTGGACAGCGACATTTGCACCTGGTCAAGTACACTTTCCAAAGATTGCATTTCTTCCAATACGGCATCGGCATCGTAAGTATCGACCTTTGCCAGCTTGAGTAATGCTGCAGTTAGCAAGTCGCAGTTCGACACCTTTTCTTCGACTGCCTTGATTTTCACGTTCTTCACGCGCCACACGTCTCGAGGAATAAACAACTTCGTGGACAGATAACCACCACGTGGGTGAGAAATTGTCTGATAGATACAGCGCATGAGCCAAAATGGACGTAAAAGAAACGACTCTGGGCACGGCTCCAATGGAAGAGGAGGATCAGTGGCCAACAAATTTGGGGATCCAGGGCTTGTCGGGGAATGTATATGGCTATCGAATATATTGAGTCCGCCACTTGGCAAGCCATTCGCAGACATCATGGCAGTGGTGGGTGTGGGGATTATAGGTATCGAACCAGTCATTGGTAATTTGTGGGTATCGACGGCAGGAAACGCATTGCTTGACGGACTGTTTGGGGACTCAGCGAACGGTTCTGGCCCTGAAACTGATATATTTCTCAGACGAAAAGTTCCCAGTCCTGTATTGAGCTTTCCCAAATTGTCTGGTGCTGAAGGTACTTTACCGATGGGACGTGTTGGGGATGGAAGTTTCGGGAGCTCACGGCCGTCATTGTCCCGAGAAGAAATCTTTTCCGAGCTAGTGTTACATAGAGCATCTTCGTTGAAAGATCCAACTGAGACATTCCGAGTTTTTATGGGCGCGGCTGATCGTAGAGCAGAGGCAGGTCCCGATGTCCGACCTGGCTGATGAATGATAGTAGAGGCCGAAGCCGTACTATCTTTTGGAACGGGCGGTGGCCGAAAGCTGAATGGGTCCGTACTTGTTTCGATTTTTAATTCTGTGGCATACTGACCCGATAGCCTCCGTGCTCGCACAGTTGGCGTTGATGTTGAGGCATGTCCCGAATTTGTAGAAACTGAGAGTGCGCCATGACTTGGGGGAGAAGCGCTAGGTTCGAAGCCCTTATTATCAATGAAGGGCAGACTTGCATCTTCTGTCAAGGGAGTTAGGGCCGTCATAGTATTGGAAGTAGTAGGGCCATCCCGCATTCTGCCAGAAAGGCTACCCGATCTTGACTGGCGGGGAAGAGCGGACTTGGACTGAATGCCAAATTCGAAGTCATCCATCACATAGCCTCTAGTCATTTCCTCTAGCAAGCGCTCCTCTTCTTCGGCTTCTTCATCTAGATAACCAGTCCTAAGATCATTGACACCGTCAAACGCGGGTTGTTCTTGCAGACGCTGCGTTTCTTGTCCGCGTGTCAATGCTATCTGAGCCTCCCGTTCAGCTTCTCTCACCTTCTGCTTCGCCATTTCGATATTTCTCCGAGCATTGGCCACAATGTCATTGCTGCTACGGTTATCATCTATATCGACTGCTGGTTCCAGACCTTCATCATATGCAGCCTCCACAGCAGCATCCAGGGCAGCATCAAATTCGGCCTCAGTACCCACAGTATGATGAAAGTTCCCCCTATGTCGCAAGTATATTGATGACACTTCTGAACGCATCGAAGCTGGGGACGATGCGCCAGATTCATCGATGGTGTCGAGCCAAGACGTGGATTCATTGACTTCCTTCTTATGACCGGCCAAGGAGGACAGGTCAGACTGGCCAGCAGCATGACTGATATCCACTCCCGAAGTTGTTACTTCCGAGGATTCAGAAGCATCCATGTACTCAAATTTCGATATACGCCGGGATGATCCAGGATAATGGCGACTGATCGAATCATATGATTGGGCTGTAGCCGGTGTACGATCACCTAGCGGCGATGGCAATAATGACTGGCGCGGTGGGTGATCCCAATTGGACGCTAGCCCTTCTGCCAGATCAAATGGTCGAACCATAGAACTGCGCTGCAAAGAGGCACGCTTCTCTCTGGCCAACTCCTCGTTCTCATCAATGATTGGATGAGATAAGTCACCATATGATTCTTGACTTAGCGGGCGCTCAGGGAGCGCTTTACTATCCAAATCTCGAAAGGAAAAATCCATACGTTGTAGCTCAGTGACTCGTACCATGTATGTATCTCGCTAGAAGAGAAATTGAGTTTTAGGATTGAAAAGAAGTTTATGCCAGTCAGAAGACTCACTATTTCTTGAAGTTTTTGCTTTTCGTCTTCTCCTCCGTCGCTCCGAAGCATTACCAAATGTAGGAGTTGACACGCATCATTGTAAGCCTCCATAGCCCCTTCGAAGTTCGCCGCATTGTCAAGAAGAACTGCAGTGTTCGCTTTCTGCAACGCTTTGGAAAGCATTGCTTTCTGTGACTGTCCCCGCTTTCTCTTCTCCTGAGACTTATCTCCCTCAGAGACCAACCGCGGTCCTACCTCTGCTGGTGCGTCAGGCCCCGATGCACGTGGACTATGTGCCTCTGGAATTGGGCGAGCAGGAACAACGCTACCTTTTCCCTGGGCAGAATCAGGCCCTGAACCGTGTTCCTTGACCCAGGGGTCTTGGAAAAGGTTATGAGGTATTTCAGTCGCTCCAGAAAATATCCAATTAGTCTGTGGCACTGTCGCTCCTACCACGTCGACTGAGTGACTTGATGGGGGATCGCCATAATTTGACGTGACTGACGTTTGAAAAGGGTGATCCATATGCGATCCATCAAAAGTATCCAAAGTCTCCGGTATGTGGAATCCGTCATGTATTTCAAGTCCCGTTTCGGAAGTTATCCGGCTTCGATATCCCGAGCCATCACTATCGTTACTATGTCCGCCATGGCCAGTGTTCGGCGAAGGTGATCTAGGCACTCTAGCATAATCGAGTCGACGATTATGTTCCGGTGAGTTTTGGCTAGATGTTGTAGACTGCGACCAGCGATTCAAATTGCCTAGTCCTTCACGGATGAGACTTTCATCGGTCTTGTCCAGCGATACAGCAGCTTGTGGCAAGGCAGATTGTGTCGGAGTTCCTGAACCGATTCTGGAAATGTAATCCGCGGTATCCGGTTCCTTTGATCTAGACATAGCCTGTGATGCGTTTGGGGATGGATGAACGTGAGCTTTGTCTATCGGGTCACTATAACTTGACTTTCCTCAACCGTGTACGATTGCGTTCAACAGTTGACTCAAATGAAATACGAACAATCGTAAGGCGTTCTTCGGAAAACGCAGATAACGTTTGTTCACAGAATCCCAATGTTGCGACACCGTGACCGCAATAAGAGACTAGCAGGTTACAGAATGGCAGAACCAGCCATAAAGATTACCGACTTCGGCTTTCAGGTAGGTAGTATAGCACCGTAGAGGATGGCTTGGCCAGTGAGGGAGGTCCTTTTTACCGGAAGCTGATGTGTCCACAGTAATTCTGCAGCCTGAGAAAGTCCACACAAGAGATTTGTCAGCTCAATTGCTGTCTTGCGCCCATACCAGAGTACTCACTCCGGTTGCATAGTGTGTGTGTGTGTGTGTGTGTGTGTGTGTGTGTGTGTGTGTGTGTGTGTGTGTGTGCGTTGACAATGCAATTGGCAGATTTGACGTTATAGGATGCGCATGCTCCCCTTATTCATGACAAGTTTCTCCCGGTTCTGGAGCACAACAGGTAGGTGGTATGCACGGAATTATAATTGACAAAGTGGGTCGATACACTAGGATACTTTCTCCTTCTCTTGGKTGAGATGTGCTAGTAGGACGCTCGATGAACCCGACGGTAGGGATTGAATTCGGATCCGGAATTCGAGTCCACACAGGACCTTCCAGCACACTAGATGGATAGTTATTTGTTAGTAAAATATAATCGATGGTGCAAATCATACTTGCGACTGCTTGAGATAGGTCTTCACTCTTCTGAATGATGATACTTAAATGTAGCTAAAAGGCAGTGTGTCAGGACATACCAAGAGCACCCTTTTTGATAAGCAATCAAATCACAAAGAGGATAAGATAGGTCAAACCGGTCTATACGTCCAGGCTGACAAAGAAAACCAGTAATCTCAAGTTAATAGCCAGTGATTGTACAGGGTGGGTTTTTTATAATATTCAAGTCAAGAATATGTTCAAGCAGCACGTATTATAATGTAGCGTTATTCCGGGGGTCAGGGTGGAAAAGGGGGAGGGGAAGGGGGCTATTGTGTTTTACAATTTATGGTCTGATATGACGGAAGTCCCTCACTAGCCATGGATTTGCTTTGCTTGCTAAACCACCGATCTTTCCACAAGACTACGACTACTACTATAGTAGCCCCATAGTACAGAGTTTGTAACATTGTAAGGTACATAACGCATTGCAACTGCTTGTAAAGGATTCGCATAGCCATAATACCTAGCAAAACCGGCTAAATAACTTACTAAAGGCGACTAATTTTACACCAATTTGATGTCTTCCCTCAATAGCGGCTAAGCTATAATTACACGCAAGGGATCTTGTGGTTTGTAATGTCCCAATGGGTGTTACTTTGTACATACCCAAAATTATGTACTGAATTTGTGACCACACTCCAAAGGGCTGTGAATGCAAATGTGGGTCTCTCTGAGGCCAACTATACTGTGTACATATCTTGTAGTAAACTTTTAGTTGGTTGTACAAAGTATGAGTGAGATGATTAATCTGAGCATTTAACATATATCAATCACGCGGTCCATACAATCGCGCGGCCTATCTAATAATACTGTATGAAAATTACTCTTTTAGTTTGGTATATTTCAGCTATTAAAAGAGTGTTAGACTTTATCTTAAATATATAGATTATGGTAACAATAAACTTAGTTTTTAATATTTTTTTCGGATAAATATAAATATATATAATAGCTGGTGATATTCAATACCTGTATTTACTTATATTTTTAAGATATTCCGTATTTTTAATTCTAGAGAATTTATAAAAAATTTTGAATAAATCTAATAAATATATATTCTAGTTATTGATC